GCCATGTATTTTGTAATTGAAAAGTTTGGAAGTAATGGTCTATATATATTTGCAGGAAATCCGCAGTGTAGTCTATTACATGAACCATAGTGGAATACAAGACTGGACGCTTTAGTGATTAAGAATATTACCTTCATAAACTACGCCAATTCATTTATTGACATATCGAAGATTGGATGAAAAAAACTAATTCCTTTAGCTGCATTATCTTCAGTAAAACGTGTAGGTTTAAAAAGCCTGTGATTTGGAATATTCACAATCACAGATCGTATGTCCTTAAAAATAAAACTTTCAAAGTTTCTCACCTTCTCACTGGTCATTTGCAACATTATTAAATAAAATTAAACAAAAAGTACTCGGAAGGTGACGTTGATAAGATTTTTATATTTATACGTAGTTTTTGGAGAACAGGTCTTTCATTAGTCTTTATGAATTTCCATATATATCAATCATAACCTGTTTAAAGCAGATTTATTTTGAAACCATGTGAAGCAGAATTTAATTTTTAAAGACTGTATATGGGAAAAAAATATTTTGTCATTCAAAGCGACACTTGAATACAGTATAAAAATTTTTTAGAGAGACGCAAATTTAGCGATTCGTCCTTAAAAATTGTTTTTTTAAGGAATATGTTATTTCAGCGATTTAAAAAAGCTCACCAAAGAAGCTATTACAAAGAAGCACAATTATTCTTTAGCGGTATTCAATTTTAGCGATCTATGCACCCTCGCTAATAATGTCAAAATTCCATCCTCGCTGAAAATTCTGCTTATACGGTATATTGACTACGTATAATTCATTAACAATAGAAATTCCCATTTATATGTCAAAACCATATGTAAATATATTCCACTATGAACTCTGCAATCAGGTCTTAAATTAGAGGCATGGGGTATTTGATAAACAACACACTTTTAATAGTTTGGTTAACTTCAATAAAATCAATTCAATTCTTAAACAATCGTAAAATACAGAATACGTAATATTTAACCAATCCCTTTTCATCATTGATCAATGTTCTGATATATATTTTTGTCGGCTGACAGATTATTTCGCCAGATTTCACAGGAAAGCAGCAGTTAATTTAAAAAAATTGAAGGAAGAAAATGAGCAATCAGCGTATTATCTCTTTAATTGTCAGCTTCATAGCTTTATCCAAAGCTATCATTATTTCTCAGAATTTTAATGCGAAACTGGAATTTAATGATAACAAATCAAATAACGATTTTTTAGGGGAATACAATTCTCACTCACTCGCTAAGTGTGCTGCAATATGTCAAAGAGAGTGCATCTTCTTTGGTTTTAACAGTAAGATGAAAAAATGTCGTACCCACAAGAGAAAATTAACGTCTGAGATGTCTGATGAGGCTGGCTGGAGATACTACTCTGATAACTGTAAGTATATTTGTTTTGGTTTATTTTGTCTGTCTGCTCGCTTCGGTTATTTGTCTATAAAGTCCCTCTGAAGAATTTTCACTCACAAGGATACACCACCAATTCCGAGGAAGAGCTGCAAAATCATTCCTATACTCGGCAATGGGGGGCTACTGGGCATTGATGGATCTTGACATGGGACCTCGATTTACAAGGTCTCATCCTTAGAGGAACCGTCTCAATGTCAACAAGGAGGAATCGAACCAGCGACGTAAAGATCAGCTCCTTACTCCATGACTCTAAAGCAGACACTCTACCCACTCGGCCGGTCCGGCAACTTCCTCTGTCTAAAATCAACCACAAATCATTTAAAACGTTTCTTTGGCTTTGATCATATTACTTTTAGGTCTGAGAGGTATATGAATATTTATATGCAAGATATATTTTCAATGACACTACTGTTCAATGTGGTATAAACAAATTTATTTTCAACATTATTTATTCTAAGTAGTGCTCTTGTTTTTGCTGATTTTTTCTCCTATTATCCTATTTGAATAACCTATAGTTTTGGATTGATGTACTTATTTTTTGTGATTCCACTATTTTTCTTTTCTTTTTCTTTAGTATTTCATAAGATATACTTGTGAAATACAAGAGATAAAGTTTCCAGGAATAATATTCATTTTAGCTTAGCGGTAATGTATTCATTTTTATATTATAGGACAACTATAGCTTGTAAATGACAAAATAATCACAAAAGAAATACTTACTTCCCAATAATTTTACTACATCTTTACTAATAAACATTTTCCAAAATGGTTGATATTCAGTCTACAAATGTAATTTTCTTAAACATTCCTTTCAATAAGATATAAAATTATGTTTGTATTATCAACAGAGAATTGGAAATAATTCTATTTAGCTTAAAAATACTTTTAATCATATAATAGATCAGAGATTTTATAGCAATTAGAAAAATGATTTTAATTAATTAGGAACAGTTTAACATAATCTGCATTGTGCATGTGCTTTAAAATTTAGTTTCGACATTTAACCTTTTATTTAATGCCAGAGTACCGACCAGACCCAACCTGACACAAAGCAGTCCCAGCAGTCCGGGGACTGTCTACCTGGAGCTGCTAAAGCAGTCCCGCAGCGGTCCCAGAGCAGTCCCACGGCGGTCCCAGAGCAGTCCACAGCGGTCCCAGCAGTCCAGCGGTCCCAGAAAGCAGTCCCATCAGCAGGGTTTATTAATTTAATGGGCGGGGCTAACTCCAGAAATGAGATTTCCAATAAACAATGGAGTTATAAAAGGCAGCTGAATTTTTGTTGAGCAGTCTGCCAGGATTCCTTTCAATGCGAAGGTCATTTACATGTATGAGCGGTACACGCATAGATTTGAAACAATATGAAATAATATTTATTGAAGGAAGAAAGCTTACACACCTACATAAATGAATTACACTGAACATGAATATTTAATCACAATTATCTTGGTTTTTTTGTGATTAATACTGGCTCCCATATTTATTTTCTATACAGAAAATCAAAATTGAATTAATTATATTTAACCAGAATTAGTTTTAAATAGATCTAATCATTATAAATATATGATGGCCGAATTCAATACTATCGGGATGCTCTAAAGGCATTTTTTTAAGTATTAGGGCTTTTGAAAAATTCGTTGCTAATTTTGCCAAGTAATATTTTTCAGTATTGATTATTCTTTACTGACATGTTAGTTTAAAATTTATTGTTTTATTTGTAAATTGTATTAGTGACCAGTATAGAATCCTAAGATTATGTTCAACATTAATTAATCTTGAAAGAAATTTATACACATTTCATTTATCTTTTTTTTTTTTGCATTACATTTTTTTTTACCTAGATTGAAATTAGGGTCATTGTTAATTGAGCAGCATGTTTAATGATGTGTAACACTGATAGTGTACCCAAATAACATGCATGATTGATTTTCTGCCCAAAGGCGATTGAAACCGCAGGTGTTTATACCATTTTATTTAAACACTTTATCGGCAAGCTGGTAAACAAAAGCAAAACAAAAAAGAAATAAATCACAATTCCCGGTATTTTCAACTGTTATTTTATTTATTTTTTTTTATTTACTCTTTTAATAATTTATTTATAAATGTAAATTCCCGTATAATTGTTCACATTGCTTATGTTACGGAAGAATGGTGGCATAATTTTATTTCATGTCATAAAATAAACTGTTAGATTTTTATTTGAGGGTTGCATGGAATACTCTTTCAGCGGTGGTGCTTGTAAAAAGTGTTGCCTTATCAATTAAAATATCTTATATCCAAATGTAATGATTTTTTAAATAGTGCCAAATGCAAATTTTCAGTATTTAATTTTAGATTTACTAATAAAATAAATCTACATGTAAATATTTTTCTCATGAGCCTGAAGTTTTATATATTTTAGAAATAAAAATCTCCTCCTGACTTTCTTATTGAACAATTTTATTTTAAAATTTTTTTTATATTACATTTGTGTAAATATACAGTCCCTAAAACTATAAATTAACTATAATACATGTAAACTCAAGGTATTAAAAGATTATAAGAAATCCTTGCTTATTAAACAGTTTAAACTCCTCTCTGCTGCAAGTAAACAAAACAACAGGGAGCCTGCAAATTCAGAATACACAAGGGGGCGGAGCTATCATGTCACTCAGAACCTTTGTCACACATGAGTGAACAAAGCAGTCCCAGAAAGCAGTCCCAGGGGCAGCTGGGACTGCTGGGACTGCTTTTCATAGCGGTCCCAGAGCAGTCCCACAGCGGTCCCAGAGCAGTCCCAGAGCGGTCCCAAAGCAGTCCCGGGGACTGCTCTGGGACTGCTTTGGTGTCAGGTTGGGTCTGGTCGGTACTGTAGATATTATATGTATACTCTAATTACTTGTATATATACATTATATAATCCCCGATTCTTTTTAGTTATGATGAAAGATTGTATTTTTTTCTGCTTTAGTTATTCCTGTAGACTGTAAGGATCTCAATCAGATGGATACATTAATTCAGGGGTATATGAAATATACCCCTATCGCTAAGCCATGACCAGTCCTGTCCGTGTTTACTGTGATATGACTACTATGGAAGGAGGGTGGACGGTAGGTTTTTCCTTAATTAAAAGTACATAATATAACTTGCATTGTTTTTGATCCGAAGAGTCGTATCACGTCGATCACAGGCGCGGATAATCAGATCAAATGAGACGCGAAGCGGCTCTTCAGATAGTTACTGTTATAATGATAAATTTATTACTCCATTATAAATAGTTTAATATGGCAAAATATAACTTTATTGATCAGTGTAAGAATTATCAATAAAAAAAGATAATTACAAGAGACTTTTTGATGCGCAAGAAAAATTGTGTCATGCCTATGCGTATTACGTCATCAGTTTTAGAAAGATGTGATAAGGATTTAGAAAACCGCAGTGTGATGATCTGAAAAGTCGGATCACGGGTCAAACAATTGCTTTAAATAAACAGTAATATTAAGTGATACACATTAGGTATAAAATAAATTTGAATATTTTGAGTTTCTATCATAACATATAGTTCTCATGATTGTTCGAAACAAGAAATTGAATTGTTTTTTATGTTAATTTGCAAAGGCCATCCAGAAACGCGTAGACGGATCCGTTAGATTTAACAGGACCTGGACGGAATACAAAAATGGTTTTGGTTACCCGGAACAGAATGTTTGGGGTGGTAAGTGAAAATGTATTCAAAATAGGAACTGATAGTTTAAAAAATTAGAGCGTAATAAAGATCTGAATTTAAGACAAGGTAATATGTGTTCTACGATATTCACATGTCATGAATCGATTACTTAAAAATGATAAGAAAAAAAGAGAAAAAATCTATCAGTGGCAACGTCTTAATAAGATTAAATTTAGCACCAACATCTATAACCGAGGAAAATGATTTGATTTTTTATCACGATATATTTATATCTTAAATAGAATTCATTGTATTTCAATGGATTTTCAGCTGATTTAAAATGTATCTTAATACAGGAAATGACATAATCCATCAATTAACAAAAGAGCGGAACTCATCCCTTTATGTGTCCATCACTCTTCATAATGGTACAACACTGTATGAAATGTACGACACATTCTCTATCTCTGACGAAAGAGCGAAATATAAACTATTTCTTGCAGGACCTGCCACGGGAACCTTAGGTAGGTGTATTCATGTTATTGTCCTAAAGAGGGGTTAAAATCACGTATACCATCATTTAATTCTTTGCATTGAAATATTATCACGTTGTTGAAAAAAGGGACACATAATTATACGTTTTTATCTGATATTCCCTTGATTCTAAGCTAATTTAATAGTTGATTATTTCAGGATATCATTTGTACACCGTAGGTAAAGTTCACGAATTCCACAATCATTGAAGTGGTCATTGTCAAATAGCTAAAAAGAAAAAGTAAATTATATATGTAACATATAAAAAAATGTGCTAAATTATCTTTAACAAACAGTAACTACAATTGCTCCCCATTTTTATTCCGCTTGATTTTTCTGATAATGTTTCATAAATAACTGTTTAACTATTACGGAAAAAGAAGTTGACAGTTATGTAAAATAATTGCTGTACCATGAAATATGCTGCTAAAACCCTTTTCTATCACAATAAATAATTATCAAACATTTTCGGATGCAACTTGCACAATTTTTTAAATATTTTGTAAATATTATCTAAAAAAAAAACATAAGAATCTAGCAAAAAAAAATAAATAATAATAAAAAAAAAACAAAACAAAATAACAAACAAACAAACAAAAAAACTGTAGAATAAGAACTTTCGAAAGAAACAAAATAAAAAATTCCAAATATGCAGCGTAGTGTTGAACTGTTGAATCTATTTTGTTAAGAACAACGGAGGAGATTGCCTGTTTCATTATACGAAAAAATACTGGACATGTATAAGCATTCCTTATTCATAAGCTTTATTTCTGCATGATTCAGACATGATATTCATGATAAATGCTTTTAAACTCCAATATATGTTTGTTTACATGAATTCTCGTGAATTCTGTTTCATTTTCACTCTGCTAAATACTGATCGATAGTTATGGAATATTTGGTTGTAGCTTTAACATACTTGCACTGCCCTTTTACTCACAAACTGATAATTTTTATGTAAAGTTGTGAGTAAAAAGGCAAATTTTACATATCAATAAATTCTGAAAAAAAAGAACGTTTAGTTCTTATAATTCCAATTACGAAGGTGTTAAATTGTTTCTCTTTGAGACATCCATACCATCCATTGTTTCTGTGCAACGTAGGAATACATTATTCCGTCAGTCCTATTTGTCGCTAGTTTTGTTTTAATTCATTTTAAGTATCTATAATTTAGCTAAAATAGACTTGAGGTTACAGTTAGGTATTTTATAATACATGTAGTTTAAAAGTTCTGTCTAGCAGGCTTGGGGTCAATTACTTTGAAATGTAATTAATTACTTTCAAATACATTGATAAATATGTCAATTACTTACAATTACAAATACATTGAATTTTTCAAATGTAATTAATTACTTTCAATTACTTTGACAAATGTAATTAAATATATTTCAATTACTTCTAGTTTTATTTTTATAAAAAAAAAATTAATAAGATTTTTTTTATAGCAATCGAATTCGAACTTTCATTCAGTGTTGTTGTTCTTGGGTGTGATAGGGGTTCACACCTAGTCAAAATTAGACCTTTACCTTATAATGAGTGTTACACACTGTATAAACAAATTAAACATTATGAGACAATTATTTATTGTACAAACACAAGCCCATGCTACACCAGTATGGTGTTTGGCAAGATCTTTTTTGTTTCTTTCTCAAATCCATTTTTTTAAGGAAATAAATGATATCTATCATAATTCCATTCATTATTTTCTATCTTAAAATGAATAGAATACCGGTAAATCAAAAAGTTAGTCTAATTGCTGATAATAAGTGGGAATAGGGATAACTGAGATTTAAAAAAAAAACATGGGAATAAGTCATATAAACCCACCAGTATAAAACTATGTATCAGTATAAGACACCTTTTTTAAATATAAACTTTCATTTTGAAAAAAAAAGTAATTGAAATGTAATTGAAAAGTAATTGAAAATACATGACCTTTTGTGAAATGTATTTAAATACATTCAATTACTTGCAATTGAAGGCTCGCTCATATACAAATTACTTCCAATTACTTAGAAAAATGTAATTAATTACACTAAATTACAATTACTTTATTAAATTACCCCATTCCTGCTGTCTAGGAAGTAGTACTGATTGAAAAATGTATCGATCAGTAAATTTTTACTTGAAGTTGTTCTCCTCAAATCAAAACACAGGGAACCAATAAATAAAATTAAGAATGATATTATTATGATGTAAATAAATTATTACATGTAGTAATCATTATCTCTGTTATATATTTTCTCTAATTCTGCAGGAGAAAGAATGATAAATCCTGGGAGTTCTAAAAGAAAACTGTCTGGTATGTACTTTACAACACGAGACAGGGATAACGACAAATATGATATAAACTGCGCCACTCTCAGTGAGACTAGAGGGGGCTGGTGGTTTAATGCCTGTACCTACACCTTCCTTAATGCTCCATGGTACCCGGCAAAGTGGAAGAGACCGTGGTATCCTGCAGTAACGATTGATTCCAGAATAGTGAGGACTATGATGTTGGTGAAACGTCAGTAGGTAAATCTCAATTAATCTCAATTAGCATTACTTTTCTTTTTGTATTTCCGTGAAAAGTTTTAATGTTTATTGGAGATTTCTATTAGAAAAGTATGCTCTTATTTCTGTCAAGCATTATTTTATTTTATTTTCTTACATTTTAACAGAAGAACAGCCCCTCAGGCAAACCCTTTCTGATACTAGAGACGATTTTAGATGAAACATAATCACGGGTTTCTTTTTTTAAAATAACGATTGACATCAAGTTAGAAAATTTGTAAACAAATATGTTTTCGATTATAAAAAAGGTTGGGGGCTTTTCTTTAAAACAATAAGCAATTAGTTTTCTTTTCTTCAATGTATTTAGTAGAAGATGTACATTATATGTGTTGTAATAAATTTGTGAAAGTAGAGATATTTCGTTCTTTTTTACAAACGCTGATAAATGAGGATGCCTGGACGGATAATTAATATAAAGATTGCTTTATTGTTAAAGATATCACAGTGGAACCTGAATAATCCGACACCTGTACAATCATCCTTACTGTGAATTCCGTCACTGAATTATTATTTTTTTAAGGAATGAGCATAGTCTTTACACAATGCAATTCTCCAACATGTTTATTCCGTCACATACATTTGTAATCTGTCTCCATGTACATGTTGGATAAAACAGGTTTCATTGTGTTAAAAGCTTGTATTTTTAAAATATATATCTTTTTCCATGCATGCAATATTTTGAATGGGTAATCAAATATTATCCATTATTCTTCTATACAAAAACTGATTCAATTGATTATGTTCTTCATTCTTAATTTCATGAAGGAAAAATATTTTACATCAGCGGCACTACATATTTCTTTCTACACATTGAATTTTATTATTAATTTTTATCAAAGATTAAAGTTGAAAAAAAAATCATAGTTCATTAAGATCAATATATAATAAAAAAAACGAATACCGTATAAGTAGAAATTTTAGCTAGTCGCAAATTTAGCGATTTCTTCTTAAAAATCGGTAATTTATTTTTAGCGAGAGGTAATTTTAGAGACTTTAAAATGCTAACTAAAGAAGCAAATAAAATGCAATTAACTTTTAGCGATATTCAATTTTAGCGACCCCCAGGACCCTCGCTAATAAAGCAAAAATTAAATCCTTGCTAAAATTCTACTTATGCGGAAAAATTTAGAATTTTTTCCGCTCTTCAATGCACATCGCAGCATTGCAAAGGCTGAAATAAGGAGGCGGGGCCTAATTTTTACGGAAAAAGTTTACTGTGACGTCACACTAAAATATGACTTTATGTATTCCTCATAATACCAGAAAATGAAATTATTTATAACTTTAAACTGCATTAGCATAAAAAACAACAATAAAACTTATCAATGCATTTTAAAAAGTTGCTATTTAAATCCCATACATCTGGTTATAAACAAATCCCTGATCTCGATGAACTTGTCAATCATGACATCATTTTGGTAAAGATGGCGTATTTCATGTGCTGTGAGAGGCAGATTGAGGAATATTTTAACAATGAAAACTTCGTTTTATTATAAAACAGAATGTTACGGAGGTATGTTAAGGTTACAACCAAAAATTCAACTGACCTGTATGATATGACGTCATAGTAAGTTATATGACGTGACGTTTCAGAGATAACAATTTCTTAAAATCGATATGTAAGATTAGTTTGAGGTCGTAAATTGGATCAAAATATGCAGAGGAATTATATAAAATGGACTTTTGTCCTTTCTGGGTCTCTGTATTTATTACGGGGTTTAATACCCAACCCGTGACGTCATTACTGTTGATCATGCAGTAGCAGAATGAAAGTGAAATGTAAAGAGTCTTCATATAAACAAACACAAGAAATCGGAGTTTAAAAGCATTTTGAATCAATATCATGTGTTATTCATGTGGGAATAAAGCTTATGAATAGGGTATGCTAATATAACTCTACAGTTTCTTCGTAAAATAAAAGCAGAAAGGGTGTTTACTGGCCGATCAGCTTTTCCTCTATAAAAAAAATGCAAAAGTTCAACACTACGCCGCATACTTTGAACTTAATTTTTGTTTCTAGCTTAAGTTCTTATTCTATTGTTTTTGGAAAGTGCTGCTAGAATCGTATGGTTTACGGGAATTGATGCATTTTTTTTCTCGATATTATGGACAAATGTAAAAAATTTTGGGAAGGTTTCCTCCGAAAGTGTTGAATAATTATTTCTCTGATAGGACAGTAGGATTCTAGCAGCACTTTTCATGGTACAAAGATGTTTTTACATAACTATCATTACAAATTGAAATTAAGTATCACCAGGGTAGTGTTGAACTTTTCACTTTTTTATTATAGTATATTTTCAAATTATAGACGTCACGTGGTGACGTCGTGGTAAAGTGCCCCCTGTAGTATAAGTCCCATTGAAGTCTATAGAATGCATAATGATATCAAAAGATTTATCCATGACTTTTCCGATTTATTAGTGTTACATTTTATTTAAAAAGTGTTAATTCGCCGAATTCTGACTCATGTGCTGCCTACACATACCCGCGTATTTACAGGCGTTAAATACGCTATTAATACCAACGTATTCCATTTGTTTAGTTCGATTATTCATTAACTATCTTGAGAATGTATTTAAATAATTGTGTCGTGTTTTTATGTTCTGGTTTGGTATATTTTTACATCGAGGTGCCTCATTAAATTGTTCTCCTGCAAGGGCATACACTAAATAAACCTAAATCATTTTCTGAATATAAATAAAGGATATATTCATCAACTTGAAAAGTGCTGCTGCTTTCTTTAAATCAAGAGGGTGACTTTATAAGTACATAAAATATTTGCTAAAAGTCAAACATAATTCGACCTGGGCCTATTTTCTTGAAATTTTAAATATTAAAACCTGAAAATTTAATAATGAAAACGTGAATTCTATTCAAAGCAGCAGCACTTTCCAGAAAGCACAAAGTATACAGAAAAAATTAATAGCTTGCAGTTTTAATTTCAAATAAGGTATGCCCTAGCGATATTGAAATTTGTTAATGATCTATATTCAGTATACATACTATGCATTGATCTCGTGATTGTCCATCGATGGGACCATACTTCATGCAGTAAAGCGTAGGTAATACTATGCTTTTTCCATAATTATTTAAGTTCTGTGATATTAAAAGAGCTGAATAAAAATAAATTCATTTTTAAAAACAATACCCGTTTTTGCATTTCTATTTTCCGTTGATTTCTCATAGCAAGCCTTAACAGTTGTGCAAAATTTAAATTTCCAAATATTTTAAAAAAGATGTTTCAGACTCTGTGGTATCATTTAACTTAATCCTGCCAGGATATATTGCATCGAAATAAGAAGGGAAAATACAATTAGGAATTAACAGTATTTCTTCTTTTCACGTATAAGATTTAGCACAATTTCTGCTTCATATGATTACAAAAATAGGTTTGCTAATAACAGGGCACGATTTCAACCCATGGAATTCCAATAAATTGGTGGAAGAACTGGACTTCAAAAAACAACATAGACATTGTCAATCAGAATCGCAGGTATATATTTTTTGATGTCGACTTCAGAGTACTTGTGTGTACAATAAAATGTTTTTTAGCAAAACAATTTTGCAAATGACAAATTAAGCAAATCATCCAGTTCCATTTCTCATGAAAAAAAACCCCCAGATATCACTGATATCAAAACGTCTGGACCTTAATTCATCGACGGAAATGGTTGTGTATGAGGTGGAAACGTCATTAGTTTTTAAGCTGATTATCTTTGAAAAAAAAATCATACATATCATTGTCCCTTGGAAAATTTGTTATTTTAGTTTTTTTTATTCTTGCCAAGATTCTTACTTCGATGACATCATTCTTTAAAACCTATCATTCTTTATAATGCTTCATAATGCACTCAAAACGGGCGCTTGGATCCATAGAGGCAAGTCAATACTATTCGTTATATTGGCGTCGCTATCAAGATAACATTAAATAATTGTCGTTCAATAGGTTTATCAGCTGTTTTTAGAATAGCCTGTGTAGCATCTTTACAGCATTTTTCTCTGATGACATCTAAAAATCAAACATATGTGATAGAAGACAATAATGATTTACCAATTCTTTATTATCTCAAAAAAGGGTGCGGCGTTCTTTCCTTTTTTTGACATTTTTAACAGAACTTTAATGATTTTCAAATGGCTAAAATATATTTAAAAATTAATCTTCCATTAAAGAATACTTTTCTTATGTAAGAAAGTGCAGACTTTTTTTCCTCACATCTCCTAGTTAAGGATAATGAAACCCGGTTGTGTCTGCAGTCATATATTGGGGACCTGTAAATTCAATTTTTTTATTAAATGTGTCAAATTGGAAATGGTGATACACAATATACACGATCAACAGGAGTTATCTTTCATAACATACAGTTCAAACATATTTATCTGCTTTGCAAATAACTGATTAATAAAAAGTTTTTGGTTCATTTTTTAAAAGACGAGTGTTACAATCATTTTTTTTCAACTAAATGCAAGCTAAATTACATAACTTATTTTGAAAATTTCTTTCTTTCTTTCTGAAGCACAAAAAAAAAAAGTTGAAAAACACCATCCAATCGGAAGTTATTTTTTCAGATATTTTTTTCTAAATTTATGTTAGGGAAATCTTAAAAGACTGAGATTCATATGTTTAAAATACAAGAATTCCAACAAAAATGAAAAACCCTCATTTTCTCACTTAAATATCACTTTTCAGTTTATAATCTAATAAAAGAATGCATTGGTAATATTTTAGCAAATACTTATTAATTATGATTAAACCATCCTAATTATCAAAATGTGGACAGGTAGTACCTAAAGTGTACTTCTTGTCATGATTAATTAGAAAGAAACTTCACAGCGTCAACGAAAAGAAAAATATGTATACATATTGTATGTATTTTCAAACGATGAAGTGTGCAATTTTATTCAGCAAAATATTATTAGAGATAATTGAAATGTGCCAGGAATAAAGACTTGAGAAGCCCAAGCTGTACAGAAACGTCCTCAAATAGCAAGGAATCTTTTGTGATGGGTTATCTTCTAAATGTATGCATGTTTTGTTCAATATTATATCCATTACATACATAACAATCTTCAATACATAATGGCACCAATTTATTACGAAAAGAACATGTAAACTTTACAAACACAACAAAAGATTTCAATTCAAACCTCCAAAAGAATTTTATTCATGTAAATAAAACTTTAAAACATATCAAACAAAGATCTAAGAAATACCTTGACAGAAATTTAAAGTCAGTTGGCAACAGTTCTTTGTCTTATTAAATTTTGATTTGCTGAAATTATAATTTCTATGCATTTAGAATACCAGCCATTAACATTATGTTCCTTCAAGTTTAAAACATGATACAACACAATGATTTTCCCTAGACAATAAGATTTACCAAAAAAGAACAAGTATATGCATATTATAACAATTTTCAATATATTAATTTCTAATTTTATCATGATAGGCTGGTCGTGCTCTGTCAGGATATAAGGAAAGAAACACTCTCTGGTGATGTGATGTGTTCCCAATGTATCGATTATTTTATTAGCAAATTTATCTTTTCATTATACATATTTTATAGTCACTTTCCTCCTTTTTTCTCTTGATTTTAAATGAATTGTTCTTCATTTTATCTTACATCTGTTGTAGTGGTAGGTTTACTTTTTTTAGTACCGGTAGCTGCTCCTGATGGTCTGGGCGTAGGTGGCCTTGAAACAATTAATAACCTATTTATTTCAGGATATGAATTATATGTACTTTAAGCAGTTATATTTTAAATCGTCAAAATTTGCGTAGAAACTGTTTCAATATCAATTTCTCAAGATACGAAATAGTTTAGCCCTGGATAATTTAGTACAAAATAATGTTCGCCCTGTTTTTTTTTGGTGGGGATAGTATTCATCTCCTAAAAAAGTGACGCCTCAGCTGTGTTCTTATCTGTAAAATGTTGAACTAAAACATTACCTGACGGAGGTGCCCCTGGTTGTAGATTCTATCTTACACTCTGTGCCCTCATCTCCATATCACTGACGAAAATGCTTCACTTCCTGTGATTTTTAAATTATATTTTCAGCATTTATTTTATATGCATATAGAAATGTGGATTAAAAAAAAAACATAATCGTTTATATTGTCACTTCATATAGCTATATTGTAAATAAAATACTAACTGCAAAAAAATATATGCAGTTTGCAATTTCCAAAAAAAGGTGTTTGAGACTCAAATGTAACCATTTTAGAAAACTCTTCAATACATTAGTAGAGAACAAAGATATTAGACTGTATTAATAATTAATGCTGATGTGCTCGACTCCCTCCATACTTTTCTCAATTAAATAGGTTGTCTTGTTTTTGCTTATCTTTTCTAGACAATATGTTATTTCTAAGTTTCCCAACCCATTTCTTTCGAAAATATTCTATGGGGCTCTTGGTCCCTTTAGGACCCTGAAATATTGATGCAATTATCCTCGTGCAAATTTCAACCTAATACATGTTACCCTATGAATTAATTATTAAGCATTTACAGAAAAAGTTTTGCACCGAAAAAAAACTCACTTGATTCCGTTGTATATCTGAACACCTACGGTGATCTCGAAAAATAGGGACTCCATTTCATGCAACACTTGCACCACTTATTGAAAAAAAAAAAACCCTTCAGAAATTTGATTTCAGATCACGCTATTGCAATTCTATGCCAATCAGGCAATGTATGGAGTTTTCCATGGAAAATTATCTAATTGAACCCATAAGTACTTTACCTACCGCACAGAAAATGTTATGGCATGTTTTCAAATTCTCAAACCACATGCAATAGCCAGTTCACATTATGGCGTCGTAATATGATGTCATTAAACTCTAGGACTCAAGTTTAGAAGGAACATCAACAAAACGCTTGGGCATAAGGACATACCTTACTTTGCTGTATAGAAACAAGATTTATCCCACCTCTGTTGATTTATCGACGAAATCCTCGCTTACGATTGGTTGAAACCTGTCACTTGAAGGAGGTGGATTACATATACCCACTAAGTTGTAAATTTATACACGGTCGAGGTATTAGGTAACTTTTACGACATGACGTCAAAATAGGAACGGTATAAGCATAATGAAGCATGAAAAAGAAAACATTTAAAAGCCAAAGCTTTTATGTAAATGTTTCTCCAGTGGGAAAAAAATGTTACATAGACTTTAGTGACAGGGTACGGGATAATACCGGGATGGATGGATACCCCATCCTGAGCCCTGGAATCAGGATTTTAACAAATTTAAATAAAACACTACCAGTGAATCATTTAAGATAACTCTACTGTAGGAAATAACTGGGGTTTTATTAGATGACTTGCTTAACATTCCTCCTTCTAATTTCTTATTACTGCCAACTTTAACTCTGATGTTATATGAAAAAAGCGATTATATGTTAGGAAACTATCACTTTAATCCGAGTAGGTAAAAGTCTTTTTTGATGTCTTTTAAAGTTATTTATTATTTGTCAAAATTACATTTATTTGTATTTTTTTGATAAGCTGTTTTAACAGAAAATCACTCTCTTCAACTTTCAATATTTTGTACATTTTGTCGGTTTTGTCTAAATGTTATACTGCCTAGCATTCGTGCCATTTGTAACATTCTTATTGTTATTTAGTAATTACCCCTTTCACCTTAAACATTAATCAATTTACCTGTACAGTGATCCTTTCTCAGGAACCATTGCCATTAGAACATGATAAAAAAGAAACAGCCCCTGTTTGGTGATTGGTAGCAATACACATTTCTTGGATCGAAAGCAGAAGAAAAATCATCTGGATTCTGGAATCTTTAAATGCCAAACTAATATGAAAAAAAATATATATATTTGAATTTGTAGGCAACATTGAAGTGCAGCTTCCCTTACAATCTGCTACATCTTGAAAATAAACAGACAACTGTGCCGTTTATTTTATTACATGCATTTATTATTAGGAAAATTATTTTACAAACACTCACGCTTAACAATTTCGACTTAGTTTTGTATAATATACAAGAATGAAGTAAAATGCGATATATATGAGTGCTTTTACCACTTCATTTGAAAAAAAAATACAAGCTTAATGCTAGATCTGAGGAGGAAGGTGTGATTTAAACAAAAGCAATACAGGGTCCCTCCTTGCCTCATTCCCGTCCTCCTGGTCTCTTCAGCGTATCTGCAACTGGATACTGACTGGCGTAGCTTTCTGTTATTCGAGACAGCCAAACTCGGAACTGCTCTGAGACATGAATTGGCATAATTTTATCAAAAACTACAATAATGTTATGTAGAGTACATCAATCTTAATTCATCAAAACAAAGCAAAAAGAAAAGATAATTTTGAATTAGAAAATGAATTGGTGATTAAGAAGTAAAGCTTGCTGCTTTGAATTATGTTAGATGCCTGGGTGGCAGAAATATTTATCTGAAATTTAACGAACCCTTGTGCATAAGGCAAACAACCTGGTTTATTAATACAGTGATTTCTGTTCAGAAACAAAGTATTCTATTTATAATAAGAGCTCAGTAGAAAAGTGAAACGGACACCTACTTCCACATTTTACAAGCCATACATGCTAAGTCTACCATATCTTTCCTCTCGAAGGACGCGATTTCACGATAGAATTCGCTTTATTTACTTGTGTATTAGTGTATTAGTGTATTAACGTCAGAGAGTTCAATATAACATGAACATTCGAAGTGGAAAAAATATCTATTAAAAAAATGAGTTAAGTTTTCGAAATGTATTTGGGACAAAATCCTTTCCGATTTCCTAAATTGTATTCATATGCTCAGAGTAGCTTATTATTATTTACATTTGCAAACAAAAGAAAATCCACATAAAGATCTGTTAAATAAAAATAATCCTCATTATTATAGTCTTTAACTGAACATTGCAAAAATGATATTGCTTTGTTCTTCTTCAGTTTTGTTTGTTTGATTTTTTCTGTCTTGCTTTTTGCTTTTTTGTTGTTATTTTTGTTTTGTATAATTCTCTGTTTTGTTTTCCCCTTTTCTTCCGGTGTGTAGGTGTATATTCAAATACTTTTACACAAATTGACAGAATTTATCGTTTGTAAGTGATTTCGTCATTTCTTATAAAGAATTCCCATTCCACAATAACACAGGACAATATTCCTCATCTTTTGACATAATCCATTAGCTTACCTCTTTTGCTTACCTCTAAGCAACAATACCGAAGACGCCCATTGAAAACTCTTTTTTTCTTTCACACAAACCGCGCGAAAATTCAAATGCCATTGTTTTTTCAATATTATCGTAAATATGATTTATTCAATTGACAGTTGGTAAAAATACTTCAAAATAAAGCTTCACACTTTTATTTTTGAAGCATGAATTAACATTTCCAAACACTTTGACGTTGTTTAAGTGAATTATTTTTTTAGCGCCAATGCTAAGTAGACTACTGTTTAAAATTAGTTCTATACTCGGCACTCAATGTGCCCAAGATTAAAGAAGAACTATATATCAAAACATAAACATACATCCAAAGAATTGATAGACATAAAAAAATCATCTATTTACACGTTTATTTTTCTGCTGTTGTGTCCGATCAATAAACCCCAAGTTGTCAAATGTCGAAATGCAAGAAATTCACATGTTTTAATATTTTTCAATAAAAGATAATTTAAAACTTAACAGTTACTATTATACTCAAAAGTGAATGTTTATAAGTTATTAATCCATAATTTATAATTGTTTTCCGTAAAATATTTTATGTGCACTTCGTTTCCTTTACTTATGAGGATATAAAACAGGAGAATATACTTTACAGGTACTTCTTTGTCATTTAAAAATTCTTAAGGAATTCCAAAAATGTTTATTTACTGAATTACATCTTAGGAAAACAATTACCTTTCGAAAATTATATGTTAATGTATTACTTGTCATGGTAAAAAAATCTGCAATCATGACCCCAATGATCTTTTCTTGAAAAATAATATCATGTCAAATCTAACAATGGTTTTATTTTGAGTGTATCTATAAAGTTGTTCCTATGTAAGACAATAATAATACACACCTTTTACCTACTTCCTTTTAATTCGCTTTGCATGTACCAATTGTTTGTATAAAAAAAAGGACAATGAATCTTACTGTAATTTACGGATTCTGGCAATGTGGATGTTCTGGGAACGGTGAGTTCGTGTGCTGGAAGTGAATAACAATTGTCATTATTTTCATTCTATTGTCTATATATTCCATTACAAGAGGTCAATGAACCTTATAGGTCACCTGATTATCATGTAATATTTACATTCAGTGTAATTTTCCTTATGAAATTCATTAGAAATCCACGACGTTCAAATTTCTATAACACACGCGAAACCTTCTCACCGCGCGTTAGAATACACAGTCGGAACTAAATGCATTTTCAATGCTCTAGGAACACAATAATGTAAAATGTTTTATTTCAATTTAATGAAAAACTATAACCCAGAAAAAATAACGAAAAAATTAACGTAATGTGCATTGTTTGAAAGTTTTTTAAGCATTGAATTCATATTTTTGGATGTCTTCGGTCCTATAACACACCTGGCCGTGCCGAAAAATTATCATACCGCGCTAACGCGCAGTATTCAATTTGTCGGCACGGCCAGGTGTGTTATAGGACCGAAGACATCCAAAAATATGAATTCAATGCTTAAAAAACTTTCAAACAATGCAAATTTGATTCGTGTTATAAACGAGAGGCCATGAAATTCATCTCTTTGAAAGAAGCATCGTGTTATCATAACTATACACTTTGCATGCTTATTTTGGTTAGGTAATACTCAGAGGTAGGTCAGATTTCAAAGAGAAAATGCCCTTCCACTTTATCAGTTGTGCACCCCATCCCAAAAGAACCACTGCCCATGGGGCCGTAACTTTCAAAATTTTGGAAATTTCATGAATGTTATTTCATCATGTTGTTGATTAACAGTGCATATTTCAAAGTCTCAAATTATTTATAGACTACCCCCCCCCCCGTCCCAGTCCCAGTACCTCTAACTCAACAAGGGCTTGGACAATAACCATTTTGGAAGAGGCAGCTTTTTATATCAGAAATGTGTACCTAAGATCATTGGCATAATACACAGGAGCAAAGGAACAGTTTTTCAAAGAATTCATGCGTTTTCACTAAATAAACATTAGAGGCCCGCCCAAACACACGAAGCCCTGACCAAGGGGCCCTGAAATTCACAAATCTCAAAGATGCATCCTTCCTCCTTATAACTATGAATATAGTTCATTTGTTTAATACCCTGGTACAGAATAGAAGATTAAAGGAGTTCTGCATTTTCACTATATAATAAATAGAGCCTCATTTTACACAAAGTCTCTTCACAAATTTGGAAGAGACAGCCTTATTCAACATAACTATGTACTTAGTTTGTTTATTTAATTCCCATGAACAGATACCCTGGTGCAGAAAAGAAGATTTCAAAGAATTTATGCATCTTCACTATATAATCTTTACGGCCCCGCCCTAGCATTAGAACTCCTGACCCTGGGACCATGCAATTCACTATTTGGAAAGTGACAGTCATTTTCAACTTAACTATATGCTTTGTAAGTTCATTTAATGCACAGGGGCATAAAAGAAGAATTTCAAAAAAATATGCAATTTCACTATATAATCTATATAGCCCCATCTTAGCACTAGAACCCCTGACTCTGGGGCCATGAAAATCCAAGTTTAGGTAAATGACTCAATGCTTATTACAATCATATGAACAATTTGACTGCTGGATATCCAGGAGTAAAAAAAGAAGCTTTTTAGGAAATGAAACTTATTTTAGTGGTTTTGATCTCACCCCAGACCCAAGGGAGGCAGGGACCATGAAATTGATAATATTTGTTCTTCTTTACCGATAGATGCTATATGCCAAGACTTGTTCAAATTGGTTCAGGGGTTTCAGACAAGCAACTGACAATGTTCAAAGTGTTAACACACGAAACTTCAGAAGAGAACAAAAAAGAGATTGAGTTTTAACAATTTTTTTCCTTTTTTAATTTATTTTAATATTGATTACAGGACACTAAGATATATATTTCTTTTCTTTTTTACTATTATGCCATTTGTTAGTCAAAAAGGATAAAATGAATCTTACTGTAATTGATAATTTCTGACAAAGTAGAATTTCTGAGTTGAGAGATTTGGTGAACTGGAAATGAATAAAATATTTTCATTATTAAACTACGTATTTCAATTCTTTTGTAATAAAAAAAATGAATTGTTCTTTAATCTGATGGGTTTGCAAATTGAAATGGGTGTATGTTTCTCTAAAGTGATATCTATATAAATTCACTTTGTGAGGTTTGAAAAAGAAATGAAATTTATTAAAATTGTTGTTCTTAAACTTTTACCAATTTCTTTTCTTGTGAACATTTATTTTGTAATTTTCCTTGTTAATAACCGTTTCGAGTCGGTTTTCATAGCATTTTTGTGGTCGATGTTATCGCGTTCCCATAGACAAAAGTGTCATTTATGTCATATCTTTATTACACATCCTTTTTAAGGTTGCAAAACAGGATACGTCGCAGTTAATACGGGAAAGTATAACTGTGGCATCACAGAAAAATGTCCTTCATAATAACAGAAAATGAAAAAAATGTGCGATTTAAAACATCAAAAATTACCAATGTATCAACATTCGTTGTTAGTCAATACCCTCTTAGCAGGTTAAAAACAATTTATTGATCTCAAAAAATGGTGGTATAAATAACGTATTTCATATACTGTGAAAGGCAGACAAAAGATTGTTTATGCTGGAAAATGTATTGTATAAAACAGGATAATAATTCATACCAATGTTAAATCTTTGTTTCGTGCGATAATTATTTAATGATTATATATTGAATGTTTAAATTAATCTTCCTTTGTATGTACTTGCTTCACATGATTAACATCAATATATCTAATCAAATCATTGTTTCTCGCAGGGGCATTCACTTAATTTATCTTAACAATTTTAATATAAATAAATGACTTTGCCAATTTTATAAGATTCAAACTGCATTGTATATTATCTGTAATTACGTGTTAAATTATGGATTTTGTTTTGTATGAAGAAAACTGTATATACATGTTTTACAACTGCTTTCCGCAAACAGAAGTTAATATAAAGTTTGTGTTCTGTTATTATTATACATGTATGTAAGAAATATTTTGTAGGTGTAAAGAACAATTGTCCACTTTTTTGGTAACCTTTGATGCTAATATTAACTACAATTTTGTTTATTGATCAAAACCTTTATTTTGATCAATAAAATTCAACTTCAATATACATTTTTCTTTTGTCCTTTTTCATAGCATTTTGGGAAAAGAGGTGGCCTAAATGACATTACCCTTCACTTGAAAAGTACTACTGCTTTTTCGAAATCTAGAGTATTATCTATTACATGCATTCATTACTTTTAGTATGTCTGACATATTTCAACTAGAGCTACAGAACATAAAACATATCCTTATGAAATGCAAACTTCATTTGAAGCAACAGCACTTTTCGGAATATAGAAACTTTCTGAACAACTCTCGTATAAAATGAAAAAATAAAAATTATGAATGAAAGCGAGCTTTAATCGGACAGTAAATTGTCTGCAAAGAAACAGGTTATAGTTAAAAATTTTGTCAAAAGATTAAGTAACGTCATTAAACGTGATGTGTGTTTCAATGTTGCTGAACTAATAGAGTCACGCAGTAAAGATTTTTTTAAAAAATGACAATATAGTTCAAACTATTTGTACAATTGTTAGCAAACGAGGTGTTTAGTATTAAAGATACGTTTTTATAAATGGATAAAAGCCTACAGACCGTGTGAGAAATTAAAAAGCAGAGCAATTTTGAGATACTTTCTCTACATAGTTTTTGACGTTACAATGTTCGTTATCTGTGTGGTCCATGGTAACAAAACATGCGACGTGTTTTCTGATGCTCTTATCTCTCAATTAAGATTCTATTGGAGATAATAACTACACAATGGATAAAAATGGATCTTAGTGAAAATACAAGTTTTTTTAGATCAATTCTGGACTCTTTTAGTGGACTCTCAAGTTCATTTGTTAACAGTCAAAATGAATCGACCCCAGAAGATGTGAGTATACCAGATTATATAAAAGTGAAGCTTAACAATGAGAGTGTTACAATTACTTTTGAAAATGAGGGATATTCTAAAATATCAAGACTCCTGCAGAAGAACCTTATATTCTACAATCGGAGTAACAGAAATGGATGGATTTATAAGACTCCTTGTAAATCTGTAACGGTAACGCTCTACAAATCAACAGACTCTCTCCATATCCAAGGAGATGCTGCTTTCACCTGGTACAAAAAATTCCTGCAAGAACTTGTAGATGATGTGGAACCTATCATCGCTGAAATATCTACTCAGCCACAGCCCCAGTTAGCTTCAACACCAAAAGCTATCGATAAAAAATGTAAAAACAATGAACTCGGTGAATGCAGTAACTGCAATAGTGCAGCTACGATAAAACAGCTGACTGAGACTGTTAAATTCCTCACCCTTGAGGTAGAAAAACTAAAAGAGAAATTGAACTCTAAAGATACCAAATTGTCTGTGTCTGCCAGTACGCAAACATACAAACTGGCAGTCAAACATAAGGAGACATCTACAGAGAGGCTTACAACGTTGTCTAGCGGCATTTCTAGACATGTGCAGTGCAACACCATTAAAAGTATGACTGAAACGAGCACAAACACAGATATATGCCCCACAGAACGTGCAAAATTAGTTGAGGAAACACCCAAAGCCCAAAACACAACAAAAAATGAAGAAGAACTACAATTACGAAGTGGATCATCCCTCATAATTGGAAGTTCAATCCTGCAAAGAGTGAGAACTCGTGGATTAAATAAATCTGTGAAAGTTTCTACAAACAGAGGAGCCAAGGTATCGCATATAAAAGCAAAATTGGCCAAAATGGATGTGTCACCCTTCCGTAATATTGTCATTCAGGCGGGTGGGAATGATGTATCAAGTAACCGCGATCCGGAATCAACTGAAAATGACTTCATGGAAATTATTTGCGATCTACAAAAACGGCACCCGGGAATACAAGTGTACCTCTCCGAAGTCTTACCACGTAGAGATGCAAATGTGAGTGAAGTGAATGAAATTATTAGATATGTGTGCAAAGAGTACGGAGCTACTCTTATCCCAATGAGCAAATCTTTCCGAAAAAATCAAGCAAATGAGCTCTACTGGAAAGACGGAATTCACTTGTCTGACAAAGGCACAGCGGAATTATTAAAGAACATCAACCAGTGTGTTCCTATTCTTAAACAAAAGGAATACATTATCCATGACGATTCATTTACAGTTAGGAATTGTATTTGTTTCTTTTGCGGAGAAGAGGGCCATACAACTCGGAACTGTCGACATGGGAAAAAAGTGTCGTGTTGGCAATGTGGAAAAATGGGGCATAAGCAAAAGTTTTGTTCCTTTTAGGAAACCGGCAATGAAAGGAACGCCGTAAAACAAAATCGTGAAAATACCGATCTTATTGTCTCGCATAACTTTTTCTCCCCAGTAAATAACAATAAATACTCAATTTTATATAATTTATGTGATGATTGTAACAATGTTGATTGCACATGTAATCCCTACTTGTTTACCCCTAAAATTTTCAAAAAGTGTTTAAATGCTCAAAACAAATCTAGTAATTGTTCAACTGATTTAAATTCTCCATCAGAACTGACAGATACCTGTATGAATAAGGTAAACACTTTTTCTAATCTTCAACAAACAAATCTTAAAAATTCTTCTCCAAAATCTGATACTCAAAATAAAATAAAACAAAATATATGTAAATCAAATCTAGGTTTAATGAAAAAGGGTCTACATTTTGTCAATTTGAATGTGTGTCATATTTTGCCAAAATTTGATGAATTGGTTTTGTATTTACAAGATGAGCTTTACATTGATATATTTTCCTTATGTGAAACATTTCTTAATGAAAATATTAATGATTGTATGATAAATATAAAGGGATATTGTTTTGAAAGAAAAGACCGAGTAGGAAAGGCTGGTGGTGGACTTGTTACATTTATTTCAAATGAATTAAAGTATAAACGCCGTAAGGATTTGGAAATTAGCAATATTGAAACAATGTGGCTTGAAATTAATCTTAAAAATTCTAAACCTATTCTTTATTGTTCAGTTTACCGTCCACCATCTGCCCCCTCCTGCTGGGTAGATGATTTTGTCCAAGAGTTACAGTGCGCTACCTGCTGTGACGACCAGGAAGTGATTGTTGCAGGTGATCTCAATATTGATATGCTCAAAGAACCCTCGCGGAGTTGGTCTTCTGCAATTGTAGATTTTGGACTAACACAATTAATTAACACCCCAACAAGAATTACTAATAGCTCTAAAACTCTTATTGACCATTTCTACACTACGCACCCTGCTAACATATGTGAAATAGCAGTACCCCCTGTAGCGATGTCTGATCATTATCCTATATGTGCCACACGAAGATCTAACAGCATGCAACGCAAAGGCAAACATACTGAAATACAATATCGTGACTTCAAAAATTTTAATGAAACAGATTTTTTGCTTGATTTAAACAATGCAAATTTTGATGAATTAATTCAACTGCATGACCCTAATGACATTTTAAACTGTTTTTATGATATTTTCAATGCTGTAATCAATAAGCATGCAAAAGTAAAAACTAAGCGTGTGAAATCTGAAATCCGCACTAAATGGTTAACTCCAGAAATAAATAATGCTAGGAATTTACGAGATCAATATCATAAACAGGGAGACATGGAGAATTTTAAGCTTTGGAGGAACAAAGTCACATATTTAATAAATAATGCAAAATCTACATATTATAAGGAAGTAATTGAAAATAGTTCTACTTCAAAGGAAATGTGGGGTCACTTAAATCAGCTGGCCTCAAAATCAGACAAAAACTTGTATCCTTCCAATATAATATATAACGGCTTAGATCTTGATAATTTACAGGATATTGCAAATGCCTTTAATGAACATTTTGCCCAAATTCCGAAGAAATTGTTGAATAATCTTTCGTCTACCACATTTGAGTCAGACAAATTGAAAAGATACACGGAGTCGAAACTTGGTGATCAAGACTTTTTTAAAATTCCCTTGATTAATGAAGAAAAGGTATCTGAAATGTTAAAAAGACTAGATGTAAACAAATCTGCTGGCATAGACTTTCTTGGACCTAGATTGCTTAAACTTTCAGCCAGTGTAATATCTAAACCACTAACACACCTAATAAATTCTAGCATAATCAAAGGATCTTTTCCTTCACAGTTAAAAGTCGCAAAAGTAACTCCCCTGTTCAAAAACGGCAATAAATCAGACCCAGGAAACTATCGCCCAATCTCAATTTTACCAACTATGTCGAAAATTTTAGAGAAGCATGTAGCAGAAAATATACGTATTTTTACTTCTCACTTTGATTTACTAATGAAAGCACAATCTGGATTTAGAGAATTTCACTCATGCCAGACAGCTCTCACAAAACTAACCGATAATTGGCTGCATGCAATAGATCAAGGAAATTTTGTTGGCATTACTTATTTGGATTTTAGCAAAGCATTTGATCTTGTTAATCACGATATACTAATTAGAAAACTTAAATGCTATCATTTCGATCCAATATCAATTAAATGGTTTCAATCATACTTATATGATCGAACACAAAGTGTAAAAATTGGTGCATACATATCTGAATCACTGCCAGTCACAGCAGGTGTGCCACAGGGCTCTATTTTAGGTCCTTTGTTGTTTCTATTGTATATTAATGATTTACCATTATGTGTTGAACATTGTAATATTGATATGTTTGCTGATGACACTACAATGCATTTTCATGGCAATAGTATTTCACATATTGAAACAACTCTAAATCATGAACTCAATCAACTACAAAAATGGTGCCAACAAAATCAGATGATTATAAATACTGACAAAACAAAGTGTATGCTAATGGGAACACAACAAAAGAAATCTAAATTAGAAAATGTTAATTTTCATTTACAACTTTCCGGACATACTCTTGAAAATGTAGAAATGCACAAATTATTAGGCATTCACATCGATCATAATCTACAATATACTTGTCATGTAGATGCAGTTTGCAAAACACTTACATATAAGATATTCACTTTACGAAAAATCAAAAAGTTTCTTCCAATGCATACTAGAAAACTATTTTATAATGCTTTTATTCTACCATCAATTTTATATTGTCTGTCCATTTGGGGCAACTGTCCTCAAACGCACGTGGATAGAGTCTACAGATTACAAAAACGAGCGGCTAGGATTATTTTAAATGAAAAATATGATACACCTTCAATGCCTTTATTTAACACTTTAGGTTGGCTAACTGTTTATGAACTTTTATATTTACAGAAAAGCATTCTAATGTTCAAAATACTTAATGGTATGTCTCCGGATTATATGCATAATCTTTTTGAATTTCAAAGCTCTGGATCATACACGTTACGCTCTGAAACAAACTCCGAACTGCGATTACCAAAATATAAAACTAACTTATTTAAATATTCTTTACAATATTCAGGAGTTATAATCTGGAATGAGCTACCAATAAGCATAAGGAATTCCCAATCCCTTACAATATTTAAAAAAAGTGTTACAAATTTTTTGCTCGTGAAACGCAATGGTTCTACATGATTTTTTCTTTTTTCTCTCTCTCTCTATGCTTAAATGTGTATGTTTTATTTATTTATTTATCTATTTGGTAACATGCATGTACTGTCCATTTTTTTTTTATTGTCTCCTTATTGTGATTTGTATTTATTATGTATATACATTGTATATGTGTTATAAAGAGGGCCCCGAGGAAGACTAGTGCTTGCACTAATCGGGTTACCTTCTATAAATAAAGTATTATTATTATTATTATTATTATTATGCTCCTTTAAAAATTGACTAACAATAGTTTTTTTTTCTTATGTCCAAAGTTTGTTTTCGTTCTTTTATGACATAAATTTTTAGAAACGCACATTAATGAAAGTAGTAGTTTTCCCCAATATAGTCAGAATTAACCCTATATTAAGGCTTGAAGTATTTATAAAAATAACTGTCATGCAATGAATTAAATCCTAAATTAAATCACACTAGCTGGTTTAATGAAATTCCTTGATAATGAACATAACTATTTATTGTTCAAGCAAAGTATTACAGAAAATAGCTTATCTGTCATATTCGACCTATACGAATCTGAAAAGGACAAACATTGAAACATATTATGGCCTTAACTTGCCACATCTCGTTCATGCAAATGAATGTCCTACTTTACTTAAATAATGTGCTCTGTGTGTATTGACTACTGTTTTTTTTTCATCTCTGAAATCCTTGTTTCAAGGATAACATTTTTCCCGAAGGAATCCATTTATTTTTTATTTATATTTTCCCCTACAGTAATAAAAAAAATCATTTAAATTCAATAAATACCATACGATGTTTAAAGCTTTTGGAATATTTACTTAAAAACAGGATACATCAGGACATTTATATCGTAAAAATGGTATTTAACGGAGGTTTCATATATAAATACATGTCGAGACATGATCAGGATTGTTTGACAATTCTTTAAATGCTGTGTTATAAAACTTCAAAATCAAATTGACAGTTTGAAAGTATCAAAGCACTCAACATTTAAGAAAATCATAATGACGTCCTTTGGTAATGTACGTTTTTTTTTCTAAATTCAAATCTCCCAATGTTTAATTAAAACAGATTCACCACATTGTATCATGAATCCTTCACTTACCAGTTTTACACAGTTTTCCCCTCCAGCCTGTTAAGTACCCTCCAATACATTCCCCGGATTCGAAATCACATGGACCCGATTTGCAATTTCCACAAGCAGATAAACAATCTTCTCCGTAGTAACCGGCGTCACATGCTGTCATATATAGCAAAAAGCCAAAATACACAAAAGATTGGTCATTTAAGGGAAAAATGAAAATTGTGCATGTTTGTTGTTTGTTTGATTTTAATTTAAAAAAAAATTCACAAAGCACTGTTTACTTAATATAGATACACCTGAGCATTAAATTTCAATAGCAAACTAGAGCAACTGTGAGGATTGATTTCACTAAATGACAGCTCTGACTTACGTTTGAATATAACGATAGTATCCATGTTCTGCTATATGAAGCCTAAACTTTGTGTTGGATCAAAAAATAAAATTGAAGTTGCACAATGGCAATATGTAATAAAAATTCCGTGAAAGTCTCATCAAATTCCATTCAGTGGTATGAGAGGAGTTGTCGAAAAGAGATGGGCTCCCAAGAGCTTAACACAAGGATTGACGTACAAGCGGACGGACGGACATCCCGATCACTATATATCCACCTGCTTTTCAAGTGGGGGGGGGAGGAATCCATTTATGCATTCTATTAAGGACCTATTTTTATCAATCGCAGAGCCCAGTATATTACATTTGCAAATTGTCACTTTTATATCTCAAGAAGTGTAATGGGGAGCATTTAACAAAACATTTTTAGTCGTATAAAGCTATATATTTGAAAAGATGTATTGAACCAGCCCAGAATTAGGCTGATTGTATTGAGAGAGTATAAATTTGAAATACATGTTTAGCAGGTTGCATTGAGTCAGTGTGACCTATATGTGTTTCATAGGTTGTATTGAGTCAGTATGACCATCGTGTTTGACAGGTTATTTTCAGTGAGTCTGATTTATGTGATTGACAGGTTGTAGTGAGTCAGTGTGACTTACGTGTTTGACAGGTTGTATTGAGTCAGTGTGACTAACGTGTTTGACAGGTTGTAGTGAGTCAGAGTGACTTACGTGTTTGACAGGTTGTATTGGGTCAGTGTCACTTACGTGTTTGACAGGTTTTATTGAGTCAATGTGACTTGCAAGTTTGACAGGTTGTAGTGAGTCTGTTTGACTTACCTGTTCGAAAGGTTGTATTGAGTCAGTGTGACTTACGTGTTTGACAGGTTTTATTTAGTCAGTGTGACTTACGTGTTTGACAGGTTTTATAGCCTCAGTGTGACTGACATGTTTGACAGACTGTATTGAGTCACTGTGACTTACGTATTTGACAGGTTTTATTGAGTCAGTGTGACTTACGTGTTTGACAGGTTGTAATAAGTTAGTGTGACTTACGTGTTTGACAGGTTGTATTGAGTCAGGTTAACTTCCGTCTTTGACAGGTTGTATTGAGTCAGTGTGACTTACGTATTTGACAGGTTGTAGTGAGTCAGTGTCACTTACGTGTTTGACAGGTTGACTTGAGCCAGCCTGGATGACATCCCGATGGACAAATTCCCATAGGAGTGCATGGACTCTCATACTTACAATGGCATTCAAACTCGCACAGCTCACCAAACCTTCCAGAATCACATCCTACAATAATACCAGGATACGTCGATATACGAAGTTATATCTCCATGATGTTCCTCAAGTCAAGTTTTAACAATGTCACAATAATAAAGATATTAACTCAATAAAACTTAGCTGACTTCTTCTTGATCGGAATCTGTTCTTGAATCCCATAACAAACTTTGTAAAAATTCAAGTAAATCCCTGATATTATGACAAATGTTTTTCTCAGATGTGCTGTAATTCCGCTTGCTGATTTGGCATTAAATACATGGCTAGCACAATTAATAATAACTTATCAAAGAAAAATCAAGCGAACCAAGACATGGAACTAACCTCTTACTGGAATATCACATGATCCATAGAATTTAGTTTTCTCCATAAAGTTGGTGAAGCACCATGGCCCTCTGCCTTCAAGTCCTCTGAATATGAGATTTAGTGGATTTCTACAAAAAGCACCAGGGATTGCCTGATCAGGAAAATCCGAGGATTTCAAGCCATACATAACTACAAACACGGTGTTGTTCCACATAACACATTTTTCTCCGTCTGCAGTTCTGTCTGTGCTCCCCTGATATCCATGAGCCTCCACCGAGTATCGGAACGCAGATACTGACCAAGAATACAATTACAAATGAAACATTACAATAACACTTGGCCGTAATCGAAAATATCTTTGTATCCCCTAACTCTAGATTCTCAAGTTGGGTCGTTAGGTAAACATTTTTTTTCTTACAGCAGCTTTTAACAATTATTTTTCTGACAGCGCCTTTAACAATAAGGAAAGTACAAAAGAAAGCGATTTGTGGAAAAAATGCTCAGTATGATACAGATACCGTTAATTAACTAATTGATTAATTAGTCCACAACTGTTATTCATTTAAACGTGTGAAATAGATCATGCCAGAGTAAATTTATAGAAATCGAAATAAAAAAAAAGAAAAAGATTCTCAAATAAGTAGACACTAGACATCAGCGTATATTTTTTTCATCAGTCTCCAGTTTTAATAGACAATCAATGTACTTTTTGAGGGCCATAAGATTTGCAATCGTACTAGCACATTTTGTTTTAAAGATAACAAGTAAATGACTAATTTAAAGTCAAATCTCAATGAGGAACGTTAAATACGGCCTTTTGATAAGGAATCATAAAAACTTATACGTAGGTCCAGTGTGTCATATGATGCTGATTCAAAAAAGATCCCCCACTGCCTAATGGCAAAAAAAGCAATGAATAAAGAAGAGTTCAATTAATCTTCCAAGCAAATCTCGAGGGGATTAAAAGCAAAGAGAAAAACTAAAAAGCTCAAGGGTCTTATTTTAAAAAAATACACTAGACATTTCAGAAAACTTAATCAAGATTTCAAAACTATTTGGAAAGTGTATGTAAACAATATTTAATTTACCAAACCGATCTGCAAATGATAAAAATGTTGTATGCAATGCCATAGTAACGAAGTAAAGAATGGAGAAAGGACATCTGAATTATATTCATCAAGATATTTATGCAGAAATATGTATAACAACTCCTATGGTTCAATAATGGGATATAGTAAACATAGGGACATAGATGAACTGGTTATTAGATAAAAACTTAAATTAAATACAGTGCAGTGAAATTTAAATGATGTTCTCACTAGGTGAGCCCCTCATCGGCTCATGACGCGGGCCTTACCATGTATTACGTACCTTCAACAGAGAGCTTAAATTTTTTCTTCAAAGTTCTTTTCAAACATTTATCACTCACATGTAGACTTTTAGATACTCCGAAATACTCTTAATCAGTCATTGTGAATTTTATTACCAAATTGTTTCAAGGGCAAAATTTCTAATAAGCTAACTTTTAGACATAAGATAGAGACATCGCCGTTGTTTAATGTAGAACTAAATCTCTGAAATCAAATCTGAGCGCCATTTTGTTTTCCAATAAATGCTTCAAATCACAACAGAACAATAGTTTGTGCCGTGGTAAAGTCTACATTTGAAATCCTTCACGTAATATTAGAGAAATCCAGGAAGGGGGGGGGGGTAAAAAAGCAATCAATTGATTAAAACACAGAAACTGTCAGGAACCTTTGAAAATGTTCGACGACCAACGCCCAAAATATTGTAAACCTTGTATTTTTTAATAAAAAAAAAAAAAACAGACAGAAACTAAGTTCAACTATGACAAACACAGACAGCAAAATATTCCATTGGCCCTGTAAGTCTAACAATTTCGATGCAAGTAACGATTTGTTACTTGTAGAATACACGCATGGTCGTGGTGCTTTATAATAACAGACAACTGCTTATATTCACTCCAACTTACAACTTTATTGACTGTTCATGCAGTTTATTGTATTTGTAACATTCACCTTGTAAAAAGCGAGTATTTGCAGGTAATTTGCCTGTCGTCCAATTTGTTTTCGTATTTTGAATCAAATTTGGTTAAAATAAATCAAATTTTCATTCATTACCCGTAACTACATATCTTGATATGCAAAATGTTTGACATTGCACGCTTCCTCTTCCATATGTAGTGTACTTTGTAAAAGAAAATATGCTTACATTTTAAACTAAATTTCAAAATTGGTAATAATCTGAGTTATTTCCTAAATTCGATTCTTTTCATATTACCCACCCTTTTCTAAACTTATGAGGTTGTTTGAGTGGCAACAATGCCTAAATACATGAAAAAAATCATGATGCAAAAATTCCTATTTCCCCTTAGGAAAACAATACAATAATTTACTATATCTAATTATAATGAAATGTTATATCAAAGTTTTTACTGTAGTAAACCAAATTAGTTTTACTTTAGTCAATCAAATGTTATTATTTATATAAAAGACAATATACATGTAATACAGTTAATTTACGAGGGGCGTTTCTAAAGTTCCGACACTAGTTACTGTTTAATAAAAAATAATAAATAAAAAAAAAACAAAACAAATTATCACAGTTTCCATTGGTTTAAATTGTGCCCATCGATTACGTGTAACAGGTTTATCATTTTATTCATATGAAGCACAATTTATTATACATATCTCTTATACATGAGAAAAAGAACTCGACATTTGAAAACATGGACGACTTATTATCAATTAAAAATAAGTTTCTTCAATTCATATGTCGACTCGATATATCCCGGTGAGCTTGAATTGAATTATTCCACGAAATCTGACACATCGGTATAATATTTGAATCTTTTTCTGTTTAAGTTAAACTTACGTAGCTGACATCCAGGACCATAGCGGTTTCGTTGACAGCCCGAGGGACAGGTCCCGGTGATTGGGTCACAGCTGCCCTCTGCGCAATAGCATGAGAACTTACAATGCCATCCAAAGGTACCAGGTTCACAAACACGGACTACGAACAAAATTGAATATTAATTTTTGGTAATTTTATTATTTAAAAAAAAAACTAAAAAGGAAGCAAATAGGAAGGTCATCTGCAGGTTCTCCTCCTCTTAACAGTTGTTGAAAATGGTTTCCTAAATCGGATAGTGAATATTAATGCTTTACAATATCTTTTACAAGATACAAATACAAATGTAGAAAACAAGTATAGCAATTCTGGTTAGTTAGGTCACTAAGAGATTTTTTTAACCAAAATTGGGGAAAACTGTCAAAATAGTTTTAAAAAACTGCTTTAATAATGAGGGAAAACTGAAAACCTGAAGAAAAAGACTAAAGTAAGCGGGAAACAACTAAAACTCAGTGCTTGGAGAGGTTGTGATGTATTGAATATCTGGAAAAATTCAGGGAGAAGAAATATATCTTGATGAGTGGGTCTGAACTTAAGATAGTTGACTCATTTTTGGCTTCTGTAGACTTTTCACTTTAAAGCTGATACTTTATTTTCGTACGGAAAATTATGTTCCGATCTTCGCATTTTACCCGCTTCCCCACCGGAAAGGATAAAAGAAAAAAACAATTTGGCCTTAAATCATAGAAGAGTAGCAAATAAATCGCTAAAAACACCACTTTTAAGCAAATATTTACTCATATCATCAATCGTAGGGTATTATTTATTTTGTTTTCATGACGGAAGAAAGAAGATTATAACAATCTACGCAGGGGGGATAAGGAAGCATACAAAATATTCTACCCTGACTAAATCAGTGCTACATTATGACGTCATAGTAGGCGAGATGACGTCAATTTTAAAACACAAGTTTTCTTAATATTGGTATTTAGAGATGTAATTTAACTCTAGAAAATGAATAGAAACTTGTAAACATTAACAAAAATAAAATGCCCTTATTTTTTAATGCTGTATTCTGTCATTTTGATTAAAATCTACCACCGATGACGTCATATGTGTACATCAAGTAACTTGGGAATTGATCATGCCGTGTAATGAGAATTTGGCTATTACGACATGTACAAAGATACGTAAAATGGAGTTTAACAGCAAATATTGTTAATATTTTGTGATATTCATATGGAGTTCTGTTAATAAAACAGGTATGCTAAGTTATTTTCATTTATTTTATTCTCTTTCAAAGACAGCCAGCTATATACGTATCCCGGTCGGCCTTTCCTCTGTCATTTGAGACAAAAAATTGCAACAGAACAACAATAAGCTGTATATTTCAAAACTTAAGATTTGTACATATGGAACGTTTGCCTCCTAAAATAGTTGGAAAGTGCTGCTAGAATCCCGAGTTAAGCATGATTTTATGAAAAATCAGGGTTCATATGTAAAAAATTCAAAACACTGGGTAAGGTTTCGTGCGAATGTGTGGAATAATTATTCTACTAACGGGACAGTTGGATTCTAGCAGCACTTTTTAGACAAAGCAGATGTTTTTCAACAACACTATTTACTCAAAGAAATTATCAAACTCCGGGGCATTACTGTTCTGTTAGCTTTTTTATTAAGGAAAATTTCGCTATTAATAGAAGTCACGTGATGCCGTGGTGGGGGTGCACGTCATTGCTTTAAACATTCTTTTATCTTTGTGCATTAGATAATAATAGTTTACGTTAATCAGCGGTTTTGGTAAATTATAACACTTAATTTTCTTTAACAAGTCTAAATTTCCCGAAAAATGACTTATATGCTTCCTTAACATACCTGCGTATAATACATGGCTAAATTGATCTTTTAATACATTTTCTATAACAATCGGTCTGATTTCCTTTGTTTACCATTTATGGACCAAAAAACACACTGAAATGTATTATATAAAATATAGATTAAGGAGACATGTTGTAGGTGCTTACCGACGTGCTAAAGTACTGACATGCATTATATTTCATGAAGTGATTACCAACAGTTAACATAGATGCTACTTTTTTGGCTTCTAATCTAACTCAGCTATTTATACTTTTTACATGTATCATATGCTGCATTTTAATCCTTATAAGTGTTATTTTGCTTTAAAAAAATATCAACCAAAGCGATGCTTGCAACTGAAGTGATAAATGCACTAAATGAGAACAAGAGGCCCATGGGCCACATCGCTCACCTGAGCACTGTGGCTAGGAAGAAGGAGAATTGGTTTAAACTTGAAAAGCTTAAATCCAAAAGTAGTCCTAAGACCAATCATGGCTTTGCTATTCTTGAGAAGAAGATTTTTAAAAAATTTTCCTATATATTTCTATGTAAAACTTTGGTCGGCCATTTCGGCCCCGCCCTACCCCTGGGGGTCATGATTTGCACAAACTTGATTCTACACTACCTGAAAATGCTTCCATATAAATATGATTAATTATGGCTTTGCTATTCTTGAGAAGAAGATTTTTAAAGAATTTTCCTATACATTTCTATGTAAAACTTTGGTCGGCCATTTTGGCCCCGCCCTACCCCTGGGGGTCATGACTTGAACAAACTTGAATCTACACTACCTGAGGATGCTTCCATATAAATATGATCAATTATGGCTTTGCTATTTTTGAGGAGAAGATTTTTAAAGAATTTTCCTATATATTTCTATGTAAAACTTTGGTCGGCCATTTTGGCCCCGCCCTACCCCTGGGGGTCATGATTCGAACAAAACTTGATTCTACACTACCTGAGGATGCTTCCATATAAATATGATCAATTATGGCTCTGCTATTCTTGAGAAGAAGATTTTTAAAGAATTTTCCTATATATTTCTATGTAAAACTTTGGTCGGCCATTTCGGCCCCGCCCTACCCCTGGGGGTCATGACTTGAACAAACTTGAATCTACACTACCTGAGGATGCTTCCATATAAATATGATCAATTATGGCTTTGCTATTCTTGAGAAGAAGATTTTTAAAAGAATTTTCCTATATATTTCTTTGTAAATCTTTGGTCGGTCATTTCGGCCCCGCCCTACCCCCGGGGGTCATGATTTGAACAAACTTGATTCTACACTACCTTAGGATGCTTCCATATAAATATGATCAATTATGTCTTTGCTATTCTTGAGGAGAAGATTTTTAAAAGAATTTTCCTATATATTTCTATGTAAAACTTTGGTCGGCCATTTTGGCCCCGCCCTACCCCCGGGGGTCATGATTCGAACAAACTTGAATCTACACTACCTGAGGATGCTTCCATATAAATATATTCAATTATGGCTTTGTTGTTCTTGAAGAGAAGATTTTTAAAGAATTTTCCTATATATTTCTATGTAAAACTTTGGTCGGCCATTTGGGCCCCGCCCTACCCCCAGGGGTCATGATTTGAACAAATTTGAATCTACACTACCTGAGGATGTTTCCCCATAAGTTTCATCTTTCCTGGCACAGTCGTTCTTGAAAAGAAGATTTTTAAAACATGCCACCAAATTTTCATTAATTCCCAATTATCTCCCCTTGAATGAGGGCGTGGCCCTTCATTTGAACAAACTTGAATCCCCTTTACCCAAGGATACTTTGTGGCAAGTTTGGTTGAAATTGGCCAAGCGGTTCTTGAGAAGAAGTCGAAAATGTGAATAGTTTACAGACAGACGGACAGACAGACGGACAGACAGACAGACGGACGCCGGACAAAATGTGATCAGAAAAGCTAACTTGAGCCTTCGGCTCAGGTGAGCTAAAAACCCATAACAATGCATTTGGTTCATGCAACTTAGTTCATGTACGATATGAATGGTTTAAGGAGCCCTCTATTTCTTGCACATTCTAGACTTCTCATTATGTGGTACCCATATATAGGAATTGTGATCGACGTCTGTTAAATTTACATTAAAATGAAATAAATGAAAATTTACAGTTGAATCATTTTATTTAATCAAATTTAGCTAAAGCAAACACAATCCCTTTTTCTTCCTCTGTCCTGAACTTCCGAGTATTTTTGAAGATAAATATCTTTAAGCTACAGCGTAAATTAGTTTGAACATTTGTAACTTTTACGCACTCTATGACACGACTGTTCTAAAGCTGATGAAGTTTATTCAAGAGATAAAAGGAAGTAACTACTAAGCCTTCAGATTTACTGGAGTTTAAACAAGTAGATAGCTCTTCATTTCCAAACTCAGCAGTAATTAGTTCCTTGTTTACATGATTCTTTTCATTACCTCAAAGTATGAAATGTATAAGAAATCACCCTCAATTTTCATAAATTTTTCCACGTTTCTTAATACCGTTGATGCCCCTGGAATACCCGAAAAACTAGATAGTGATTCAATATAGTCACTTTTCAGTGTGATAGATTTAATACATTTTAATTACACGAGGTCTTACATGTTTATTTCAATAGTATCTGCCACTGACGTCAGAAACAAACACAGCCACTCAATATTGGCATGCATACATAGCAAAATTAACCTTTAGGTAGAATTATTAAGAAATCAACTTCTCTAACTTTCAAAGAGTTACATTAAAGAAAAAAGATGGAAATGGAAATATTCAAGAATGATGGTGAAAAAATTGATTCGAAAGATATAGATAGCGAACGTATACATTCAAAAATACATTGTTGATTAAAAGTTTTACATATATATTTAAGCAAAAGCAAACAAATGGTAATTTATTTTATTTGACATAGGGTGTTTTAACAACAACAAACTCGATCATTAATTCATAGAGTTTGATTAGGAGTCTAGGTTTACTATAAATTCAAATAATTTTAAGGGTTTGATCAGGAAATTTATATCAATGTTTCCGTTTTCAATCCAATATAAAAACACATCTAAATAAACAAGGAAAATTAACCTATATATCAAGAGATTGACAATTACAACATTAAAGACTGATCAATTTGTTTAAGCGTAATCAACTGCTATTTTTGGTAAAAGGTTTTGAAATATGTCTTAAAAACATTTTTTTTTTCTTCACATAGAACTTAAGATCAAAGAATACTTACCAGAATTTATGGTTGAAAAATTGGCCCAAACAATTGAAATGAAAAGCATACACCACATGTTAGTCATCATTCATCTTCTGAAAAAAAAACTCGAGTTGATTATGCATTTATTCAAGCCGACCACGTGATCTGAGGAAAATGACTTCCACTTAACTTTTCATGATGGAGTCAATTGCATTTACTTACTGTAGATCACTAAATTTTCGCAACACCTTACTTTCGCGAGATAGTATTTGACTCTTGATTAGCGAGACACAATTTTCACGAATTGTGGTTATTGCTTTATATTTTTAAGGAATACCATTATATGCTAAAATTTAATTTTATGCGAGCACACTGTATCTCGTAATTACGAGAAAATAAAGTTCACGCAAAAAAGCGATTTACAGTAGTATATTTTCCCCAAACGAAATTTGGGAAGATAATGTTTTACTTTGATTCATAATATTTTAACGATCTTCTGTCAAAACTAATAACCATTTTTTTCTATTCTTATTTACCTTTTCACTTTTCTCAAAACATTTTAATGAATCTGTTTGTTAAGATTATTACATGTATTATTTTTCTTCTATATAACTCTATAACTTTGAAAACTCATATTTTGCTAAACAGATTTCAACGGATTTTGCTCAAACTTTACAACAGTTCCTTACGAATTATAAAAACTGGGCTTTTTACAATACAAAAATGATTCTTTAAAAAACAAGATGACCATTGACTATATCACTAACATGATAACACTGGCTAGGAAGAAGCATGGGTTAATTCCGTATTAAACAAGAGTGTTTTCACTATCTTTAGATGCTTCTATAATCTATATCCATTAAACAAATCATTTCTTTGCTGTTCTTAAACAAACTATTTTAAAGATATGTTTTATTGATACAACATTCTCGCAGGTTTTTCATATTTAAAAACAGCTTTTTTTGCGATTTGATTATTAAAAGTTTAGGAAATATACATGTCCAAGGTATTTTGAAGCATTTCAAGCTTAATAAAAAAATATGGCGCTTAGATATATAATGAGTTGAGCATTCCAAAATGAAAATGATGAGCAATTTAGCACCATCAAAACGATATTAAAGGAAAATGAATAGTTTTATATAACACGTATTAAAAGTTTGATAGATGCTTGAAAGTTTGAACTTAGTCCAAGTCTGTTTCATTATTCCTAGTCCTGAAATTAGTTTCTTTTTTTTCTTTGTTAATTTGCATATATAGGAAAGAAACACCTAATATCATATTCTCTGCAACACTTCTATAGCAGTATTTTTCCCCGTTTCATTTCTTTTTTTCCTTCGCTAAAATTGCTGGTTAATCTTAAAAGTTTATGTAAGTCCTTAAGTTGATTTTTACATATATTTCTTTAATCATGAAATCCATTTACTAGCTGTTTATATATAAAAAAAAATGATTTTTATACAAATCTAGTATATTTTTCGAATAACTTATTTATTCGAAGGCGAGAAATTGTAGATATCGTATTCAGATCATTGCTCAGAATTGTGTTAAAAAACAGATATGTATACGCAGCACCGTTAAGTCTTAATTTGGAAAATCAACGCGCAAAAATATAGGTGTGAAAAAGGGGACCTTTTTCAAAAAATGATTTTTTTTTAAAAAAGCTGTTTTATTATCACATAAAATTGTTGATTAAACCAAAGAGCAGATTTCAAAGCATTATATAATTTTCAGACTGTGTAACCCCCCCCCCCCTATTCCCACACCCACAGACTGCACACCCAACCCAGGTGACATAAAATTAACTATTTGAAAAGGGCACATTTCTTCATCATGAATATGTGCCTACATCATTTGTATAATACCAAGGAGCAAAGAAAAAATGTTTCCAAAGAATTCATGCATTTCTTGCACAGTAATGATTAGAGCCCACCCTAACACCAGAACACCTGATCCAAGGACCATGAAATTAAGAAGAAGCATCGTAACTATGTATATAGTTCATTGGTTTAATACCCAGGAGCAGAGAAGGTTTTTAAAGAATTTATGCAATTTACCTGTATAATCAATAGAGCCCAACCCAAACACTAGAACCCCTGACCCTGGGACTAAAAAATTAACAATTTCGGAGAGGCAGCCTTATTCAACTTAACCATTTTCTTGTTTAGTTTATTTAATACCCAAGAGCAGAGAAGAAGATTTTCTGGAAATGAATGTATTTTAACTATATAACCAAGATAACCCCATCCTAACACCAGAACCCCTAACCCTGAGACCATGAAATTCACTATTTTGAAAGAGGCAATCTTATTCAATAAAACCATGTACTTTGTTAGTTTTATTTTTTTGTTTAATACCTAGGAGCAGAGAAGAAGAAAAAAAATAATTCAACTTACTATATAACCAATAGAGCGCCACCCTTACTCTAGAACCCCTAACCCTGGCGGTATGAAATTAACAAATTTTGAAGCTTCGGAAGAAACATCCTTTCTAATTAAAAATAATTAAATAACTCATTGGTTAGATACAAAGGAGCAGAGTAGAAGATTTTCAAAGAATTTATGCAGTTTTTATTGTATAATCAATTGAAATATTAATTGTATTTACCCTAACACCAGAACCCCTAAACCTGATTCCATGAAATTCACAATTTTGAAAGAAGGTAATCCTATTCAACAAAACTATGCACACTGTACTTTGTAAGTTTATTTAATACCCAAGCCCAGCGAAGAAGATTTTTAAAGAATTAATGAATTTTCAATATATAATCAATAGAACCCCTCCCTAGCACAATTTTGGAAAGGCAAACATGATCATTATTACTATGTACGAGGGTTTTCCCTAAAGATGGTGGGCAACATTGATAATTACTGACAGACATCGATAAAATATATGAAAACATCATTTTCATTAAATTCATGTTTCATTTTATTACCATGCAGGTTTTCAACGTAAACGAAGTACAAATAGTTATATTTTTATCAGATTAAAAAAGACACGCACTCATACCCGGAGCACTAAAGTTAAAATTCTTGACGTAACCCGACGTCATAACAATAATTCGAGTACATGTAACTTTTCTCAATATTGTCACCCTTTAACTCAGTACATTTCTTATGTCGGTTTAACCAGTCATAAATATGTGCACAAAATGTTCATGTTTAATACGTAAAATAATATTCAAAAATGCCTGTCTCATATCCGCGGCAATCCTCCAAGCGCTTTCATTTACGGAAATACGGTAAAGTTACGTTACGATGTTCTTTCTTACAGCACTGCAATCTCGGAATGATGGCTTTCCTACACGCTTGTCATCCTGTAAACTGTTCCTTCCGTCCGAAAATATTATATGCCACTTAAATATTAATATACGGTTTCTTTTACTATGTTTTCCCTTTTGTTTACAAAATTTATTGGTCTCTGTAGGTATTTATCCGATGTCTACGCCGAATTTTATCATTGCTCACTGCTCTACCTATTCCAAAAACGTCCCTTTTTTAACAATTCCGATCCGTTTTAATATGTTCTAACTTTGATTGCTCAGCCATTTCACAATTTTGGATGTTCAAATTTTGAAGGTTTGAAGTGATAACTTGTGTCAACCTCATAATCTAAAATTGTCATTCAGATTTCTGCAGAATTTTTAAAAATACAAAGGAAATTTATAAAGTGATAAAAAAAAAATATTAAAATTTTGCGTTGCTCTGGGTCTCCATACCAAGTCTTATTACATGTATGAAGTCATAATTGTAATTAAACATTTAAAATTGAATCAGGTTTTACATTTTTCAGTTCGCATTTAGAAAAGGACTAGACATATGCAAATAATAAATATCAGTGACACAACTTTTTTTTTAATTCTTAACTTGTCCACGAACTTTACGGACAATACCTAGGAGCTGAGAAGATTTCCAAAGAATTAATGTATTTTCACTATATTATCAATAGAGCGCCGCCCTAACACCAGAACACCTAACCCAGGTTCTATGAAATTCACAAATTGGAAAGAAACATCTTTCCTAATTAAACTATGTACATAGTTCATTGGATAAATTCTCAAGAGTATAGAAGATTTAAAATGAATTTATGCATTTTAACTATATAATCAATAGAACACCTTGGTGACACCAGAACCCCTGACCCCGGAGCTATAAAAGTGTTTGTGAACAGGCATTCTCGCTCATTATATCAATGTACTTAATATGTTTATTTATTAGCAGAAGCAGAGAATAACTTTTTTAAAGAAATAAGGTATTTCTCTATGGAGGCAACCTTACTATAAACTTGGTTACAGGTAGTTTATATTTAATACACAGGAACAGAAACAGAAAATTTCTCTGATGTTTGAGTCATAGACGATTAGGAGTAAATACTTTATAAAGTTTGTTGTAGTCAGAACGTTCGGTATAGCTTGGAAAACCAAATTAAAATTGAATTAAGCATTATAGGGATTAAACTATGAAATTGCCCAGAGTAAATTTGCTAAATATTTCACTTTGTCCAGTAAAATACATATTAAAGAGACATTTGAAAGAAAATATTAGAAGATAAAACATTACTGATATTTATACATTGGGAAAAGCCCTAAAGCCTTGCCATCTTGTGGCCTAGACCTCTGCATAAGCTTAAAATCAAATCAATGCTCGCTTCAAACTAAGTATCATTTAAAGTTCTTAAGTACAAAATATCAATTTTTTTTTACTTTTTTGTTTGGGTTTTACATAAAAAAACGACCCTTTCAACACCTTGTTCCTTAAAGAACTTAAAAAAATATTTTGAAAATCAGCAACTCATTGAATATCAAAGTCTTTGTGATGACAAAAAAGGAGAACAAAACAAAAACATAAAGGTATATGCATGGTATGCTTAATAGATTACAAATTAAACTTCTAAGGACGAAAAGTAAATATTAATCAATGTACACAACTAAGTTGTCAATCGCAAGATTTTGTTCTTAAATAGAGTAGAGATTTTCAAAAGTAGTATTACATAAAAAGTTTATAAACGTTCCAAATGACGTACTAAAGTGCACTCATTCTTTTATGTACACCTTTGCCTTGAGATATTCTACATCTCGATTCACCGATTTTAATTGTGTGTTATAATTTTTTAGATTAATTGTTGTCCCTTTTCGTTATTTTGTGTTTTATCATCTTATTTTTTTAAAGCATATGATCATCAAAAATAAATAAATTGATGAAAAGAAAGGGACATATATATTTTCCACAAAATGTATAATGACGTATCATTTTTTTAAACTTTAAATCACCTGGTGTGAAATGAGTTTCCTTATATACAAGAAACAACGTTAGGGATGATAAAAATTTTCATAATTTGGCGTAGGATTCATTGGTCCAAAGATTAACAATTCTATGTTATTATTAAATCAATCATTAAAATTGATACATTTTAAGCCGTAAATATCTATTTAAGAGGAAACAAATTATATCATTCTGTGTAAAGAGAGCCTATTTATACATGAAAAGAGCATGATTTATTAGAAACACTTTGGCTTTTAAAGATCAAAGAAAGGAGACGAAAATATTACATATTATCTTCCTCATAAAATGGATTTCAATCGGCTTCTGAAAAAAGACAATTTATTATCAAAGAACATTTTGTATCAATTAACAAATGTTGGAATGTTCTCTTTTATTATTATTCTACTTTATAAAGATATTTTAGATAATTTGAATATCAATTTTCAGTTGAATACTTTTCGATAAAGATACTTTTTTTTAACTTTTGTGACTTATATTGCAACTAAATCATTCAGTTTAGTTTTGTAAATATATGTAAAATTTTTCCATCTACAAAATCGGTTAAGACAATTGTTTTCCGATAACTGTTACATTTGTACATAATTCCCAAGTAAAAATAAGAACACACATTCTGAGAGTATTGCCTCCTACTGGGTTCCTCTTTTCTCTATATGTTAAAATTTTATAATTTCCTGTATTATAAAAGAAACTCTCCCCCGAATAATGTGGACATTTCGATAATTACTTGTTTATGAATAAAATATCTTAGTATTAAGTTGATGTGTCATACAAATAGAGACGTCTATGAATGTCACTAGATATGCATGCGTGAAGTCATAAAATCAGCTTATTACAAATGATTAAAGAAGTATATTAAAAGAATTCAAACTTTATCTTTGGTTGAATAATTTAAAGGTGTCTGGGAATAATCTCTCACCGCAGTTACAATGCCTCTTACACTCGTATTGTAGGAAAAATTGCAAAATGAGAATATTTCTGAAACGATTTTAGAGAAAATAATAGGATTTTGTATTGAAAATACAAAACAAGCCCTGTTGAGGTTGTGTTTGTCTCAAACCTTAAAAAATCAACATAAAGACGAATGTTCGACTCATCGCTTCATATAAACCATGGTTAGACTCAGAACTAGTATGCACTGTGTGTTAGAGGCATATCTTCGTTTTAGCTCACCTCAGCCGAATGCTCAATTGAACTTTTCTGATCACATTTTGTCCGTCGTCCGTCCGTCCGTCCGTCTGTAAACTTTTTACATTTTCGACTTCTTCTCAAGAACCACTGGGCTAATTTTGGTACAAAGCATCCTTGGGTAAAGGGAAATTCAAATAATTAAAATCAAGGGCCATGTTCCCTCACAATGGGAGATAATCAGGAAAAGACAAAAATAGGGTTGGGTCATTAAAAAATCTTCTTCTCAAGAACCACTGGGCCAGTAAAGCTGAAACTTATTTAGAAGCATCCTTGGGTAGTGTAGATTCTAAATTGTTCAAATCATGACCCCCAAGGGTAGGGCGGGGCCACAATTGGGAATCAAAGTTTTACATAGAAATATATACGAAAAATCTTTGAAAAATCTTCTTCTCAAGAACCACTGGGCCAGAAAAGCTGTAACTTATGTGAAAGCATCCTGGTGTATTGTATATTCTAAATTGTTCAAATCATGGCCCCTGGGGAAAAGGCGGGGCCATAATAGGGAATCAAAGTTTTACATAGAAATATAAAGTAAAAATCATTGAAAAATCTTCTTCTCAAGAACCAGTGGGCCAGAAAAGCTGAAACATATGTGGAAGCATCCTTGGGTAGTCTAAATTCTAAATTGTTCAAATCATGACCCCGCGGGTTTAGGGCGGGGCCACAATGGGGAATCAGAATTTTACATAGAAATATATAGGAAAATCTTTGAAAATCTTCCTCGCTAGAACCACTGGGGCAGAATAGCTGAAACTTATGTGCAAGCTTTCTAGGGTTGGGTGGATTCTAAATTCTTCGAATCATGACCACTGGGGATAAGGCGGGGCCACAATGGGGAATCAAAGTTATACATAGAAATATAAAGGAAAAATCTTTGAATAATTTTCTTCTCAAAACCACTGGGCCAGAAAAGCTGAAACTTATGTGGAAGCATCCTGGGGTAGTGTAGATTATAAATTGTTCAAATAATGACCCCCGAGGGTAGGGCGGGGCCACGATTGGGAATCAGAGTTTTACATAAAAATATATAGGAAAAATCTTTGAAAAATCTTCTTCTCAAGAACCACTGGGCCAGAAAATCTGAAACTTATGTGAAAGCATCCTGGTGTATTGTAGATTCTAAATTGTTCAAATCATGACCCCCGGGTTTAGGGCGGGGCCACAATGAATCAGAATTTTACATAGAAATATAAAGGAAAAATCTTTGAAAATCTTCCTCTCTAGAACCACTGGGGCAGAAAAGCTGAAAATTATGTGGAAGCTTTCTAGGGTAGGGTAGATTCTAAATTCTTCAAATCATGACCCCCGGTAATAAGGCGGGGCCACAATGGGGAGTCAAAGTTTTACATAGAATTATAAAGGAAAATTCTTTGAAAAATCGTCTTCTCAAAACCACTGGGCCAGAAAAGCTAAAACTTATGTGGAAGCATCCTGGGGTAGTGTAGATTCTTAATTGTTCAAATCATGACCCCCGGGGGTTTGGCGGGGCCACAATGGGGAATGAATTTTTTACATAGAAATTTAAAGGAAAATTTTTTGAAAATCTTCTCAAGAATCACTGGGCCAGAAAAGCTGAAACTTATGTGGAAGTATACTGGGGTAGTGTAGATTTCAAATTGTTTAAATTATGATCATTGGGATAGGTTGGGATAACAATATGTATTAAAAGGGGGAAATCTGGTAAAGAAAAGAATGGCCAAAGCTTCTCAGGTGAGCGATGTGGCCCATGGGCCTCTTGTTTCTTTGATATATTGTCAATACACGGAACCCATTCTGTCGTTAACAACCTTCTGATCCTTCTGTATTCAAAACCACAGAAATGATAAACGATCAGTATGTACTGGTTCGAGCTGATAAAGGAGTTTACAATATTTAAAGTTATCTTAATTGTATTTTAAGGGAACTGGGATATAAATCTGCAAACTGTCATTAAAATTATACCCATAGCTTCTTTCTAAAGAAAACAATTCTTATGGACCATACCAAATAGATTTAAATTATCACGCCTATACTGGATTCCTCAACTTCATAGAAAAAAGTATTTATATAATCAATATATTGAGCCAGTCCTAATGGTTCTTGCGAAATTGTTTAAAGGTTTTCCTATAGATACCTTTGAGGGGTCATCGTGGCTCAACCCTACCCCCGGGGTCATGATATGAACAGACGTAAATCTACATCATCTGAGGTTGATTTCACATGAGTTTCATCTTCCTCGGCAAAGTGGTTTTTGAGAAGATTTTTTAAAATGCCATTATTTTTAACTGATTCATAATTATTTTCTTTTGGAAGAGAGAGTGGCCCTTCATTTGAACAAACTTGAATATCCGTCACGCAAGGATACTTTGTTGCAAGTTGGTTGAAATTGGCTCAGTGGTTCTTTGAGAAGAAGATACAAATGTGTTAAGTTTACCACAACAACGACGACAACAGACAACGGAGAATTTTAATCAGAAAACTCACTTGAGCCTTTGTCTCAGGTGAGATAAAAATACTATACACCAACATAACGGGCATTAGCTCACTGAACAAATAGCAAATATTTCATTGTGATAACTTAAATTGCAACTCTAAAATGAACATTTCCAACAATTTATCTTCAATTCAATAAAATCGATACTTAAACAACAATAAAATATAGAGCACGTATCAGTTAGCTAATCACTTTTGAGGCATTGATTAAGGTTAATATATTTATATCTGGCAGATATAAGACCACTTGGCAAGTTTTCACAGATTCACAAGAACGCAGCAGTTACTTGTTTTCTCTAAAAAGTAAAAAAAAAATATGACCAATTTGTGGGTTATCTTTTTCATTGTAGCTTCTATAGCTTTATCTGAAGCTTCCATTTTTTCTCAAAAATATACCATGAAACTTGAGTTTAATGATAAGAAATCAAATAACGAACTTTTAGGAGAACACAGTTCTCATTCTTTGCCCGAGAGTACGGCGATGTGTCAAGGCGAGTGAAATTTCTATGGATTCCATCCTCAGATGAAAAGATGTCGTACCCACAAGAAGATTTTCACGTCTGAAGTATCTAATGAGGATGGCTGGAGATACTACTCACATGACTGTACGTATTATTTTGATCTGTTTGAATGTTTAAAGCCCCTATGCCGATATCTGGCTGCAAAGTCTCTCCTATATTCGGTACTAATTGAGTAATGGGGAATATTTTTACATACCAGCATCTCCAGAGATAGGGGGCTTTGGCAAATATAGTGACTGGATTGTTATTGTTGACAACTTACACGAACGATCACGTTACACGCACGATTCCGCAAGATTAACGCACGATTAAACCTGATACACGAACGATCCTTCACGCTCACGATTCTACACGTTACACGATCTTACACGATTGCTAACGCAAACGCACGATTCTTCACCCAAAATAGTTCAAATTATTTAGGAATCGATATTTCCAAAACGAAATACGGCTTTATATTGATTTTGGATTCAAAGAATAATCAATAAATATATTATATCATCGACTTTGAAAAAAAAAACCGAAATGGGTATTTCTGGTACTAAATACATGTAAGATTTTTTTTTATTAATTTAGATAATAAATAATTATTTAGATAATTCTCCGACATACGAAAACGGATTGTTTTTCTTCTATCAGAAGATAGTAGTAGGTGGACCGTAAAATTTGATTGAATTGGATGTCATAATATGTAGAATGGGGGATACAATTGGGAATAGAATGGCAGCATGGAATGACATAACTTAAAAGTTATATCTATATGTTTTCATTACTTCAAAATGTTTATAAATCTCTAAAACATGAAAAACGACATTGCAAATTATTGTTTTACTTTAAAAATTAATTAAAGGTAAGCTACAGAGATAAACACGGTTAAACAAAACCCCGAAAATCATTGCATGACGTGCATGTACATTTGCCGACTAAACATTTATGTAAGCATTGAAAAAGATTTTCTTATTTGTAAAAATATTTCTTTTTGATTATTTGAAAATTAAAAAAAAAAAATCTTACCATAATTAGCAGCAAACAAGAATGATCTTCAGAAAAATATAGTAAAACATCTTAGTACGGTTTATCTAAGTCACGCTATTTGACGAGAACATAATATTGTACGACTTACTATATTGCTTGTTTACAAGCGATAGTTAGTTCGTTCCGCATTTAATTATGTAAACTGTGCTTCATTCCTTTTATTTGGATTAAAAAATAAAATATAAACGAAATACTTGTTTCACAGATAACATTCCAATAAAAACTTACAAAACGAAATTTACACGTTTCTAAACGCACGTTCACGCACGATTAAAACCGCAAACGATTGAGTCTGTTACACGCACGATCTCGCACGTTACACGAACGATCACGCACGATGCACGAACGATTCTACACGATTGGTTTGTCAACAATAACGTTCCAGCCACTGTACGGTTTAATCTGTAGGTTCTGTCTCCATGTTCTACAGTGTAGTGAAACCACTACATAAGAATTTCTTTATGTCTAAGTCACATTTCCCGAAAGGTGGGAGTAGACCGGTGGTAATTGATGGTTTGAGCGATATCCCAGCATCGGTCCTCATCTGCAAAGTAGTCAAGACCAAGTGATGCATTGCTTGTCTTAGACCGAAGATCAAGCCGTAATTGGCTGTTGCACTTTACATTGCTCGTTCAATAATGAATATAGTCCATTCGTGCGTCTATCGACTATGAACCAATGTTTGGTCGAACACCGTCAAATTATCTGCCGTTGTCTGTTGCCCTCCGCTTATCGGCCGATGACGTTAGTTTCAATGTACACTGGAAAATGATTTGCCATACATTGACCGATTCTTAAAAGATGTGTAAATGATGGGTTGCCGATGAGGAGCGATGCTGGCATCGAAGGACATATCGCTGATTTTAACTACATCTTATTTTCTACTGATGACTACTTTGATTAGCTAAATTGGATCATTCACCCTCCAATAGGTGTATTTTTATCACAAAAAGACTATGTTTCCCAAAATACCTTTCCCGAAAGCTGAGAAGGTAAACCCTTTGTCATGGAGTATTTAAGATCTTCTGTCGACCCCTCAGATCATCTCTCCACCGTCTCTTGATATGAAAAACGAAAATTTCATACACATTTTATGTGAAAAATAAATAATTTACAACCCGTGTTATATCGTTTGTCTACATTCAATACAATGACAGACTGTATTTGAAAAGCAAGCTCATTGTTCCCACCGGCGAATCGAGGAAATTTTAACATTAACATACCAACTGAGTTAATTTCTTGATCTGTTCCACTAACCAAGTGAACCATCATTTTATTTAGAAATGTATTCCTCTGTAACATACCATTGTTCACGGTAGCTCAGTCGGTAGGGCGCTCGCTCCGTGATCGGGAGGTCGTGAGTTCGTATCTCGGCCTCGACTGACCTAGTCGTTAAAATTGGTAGCAACTGTTCCTTCGCCATGCGCTCGGCACTTTGAAGTGAAAGCTGAGGGTCCTTCGGATGAGACCATAAAAACCGAAGCCCCGTGTCGGCGGCAGGCGTTGGCACGATAAAGATTCCTCACTGCTCAATGGCCCTGAGTGCCGAGTAAAGGTCAAAATTTGAAGAATTTCACCGGCATAAGGTGACGTCTCCATATGAGTGAAAACTTCTCGAGAGGGACGTTAAACAATATACAATCAATTACAATCTGTAACATACCTACGAGTAAGAAATGCAAAGAGTGTTCGAATTGCTAAAAAAAAATAGTAGGGTTATTTGTGCCAATAGTTTGTTTTCTTAAATATTCGTTGAAGAAATCAAAGATTAAAGATTTGAATCAATTTAGAAGCCAAAATAATTTCAGATTACGGGAAATATTATAACATAACCTACCTTGTAGGTATCACTTAGCTCACAATTTGTCTTCAACAATTAACCATAAATCTCTCATACGCGTATTTATGTATGCAATGAAATAAGATTTTTTTCCCCCCTTTTTCAGCAATTCCCGTAGATTGTAGATATCTTCAAACAGAAGTTGGCTCTATTTCCGGTGTGTACGATATTTACCCGTATCGCACCATTACCATGCCTGTCACCGTGTATTGTGATATGAAGACAATGGGCGGGGGATGGACGGTGTGTACAGATGTTAAACGTCACAATGTATTGTTCATAAAGTTATATCTTATACATCTTATATAATTCATTTAAGTGTTTAAATTCTTCAAAACAATAATAAGATACCAAAATTTTACTTCGAATCATAGCATTTGGATTATACAAATATTCAGAACAGTGAATTATATTGCTCTAATTTTTAATTATTAAAGGCAATTCAAAAGCGAGTAATCGGATCTCTAAGTTTCAACAGGACCTGGACAGAATACAAAAGTGGTTTTGGTGCCCCAGAACAGGATTACTGGATTGGTAAGACGAGTGCACTTCTAACAAGGGAATTCAAAAGTTAACAAAAAGATTTATTGTAGCAAATAATGGAATCCAAAGCGTAACAAAGATATAATTTTAAGACTGGGTAATATGTTCTTCACCATCTTCGTGGATCATGTATGATTGAAATCTTGTGTAGCAAGAGTGCAAGAGGATTAAATTATTCAGCATGGGTGTCTTCAAAATACACCATCTTTGCAACAATGTCTACAGCTTAGAAAAAATAGTTTGATTTTTCGGGGAGGTTTATTCATATTCAAAGTAAAATTATTGTATTGCAATGGATTTTGCAGTTGATTTCAAATAAACTATATCTAAATACAGGAAATGACGTAATCCATCAGTTAACAAAAGGAAAAAAGTCTTCCCTTTATATTTCCATCACTCTCCAGAATGGTACAACGCTGTATGAAATGTATGACGTAATCCATCTGTTAACAAAAGGAAAAATGTCTTCCCTTTATATTTCCATCACTCTCCAGAATGGTACAACGCTGTATGAAATGTACGAGCAATTCTCTATCTCCAACGAAACAGGAAAATATCAACTCTTCCTTGCAGGACCTGCCACGGGAACTTTAGGTAAGTGTAATCATGTAAATGTATGAAAATTGGACATAAATCACGTACATCATCATTACTTCGTAAAAAAAAGTTTATGTATATATAGTCAATGCTACAAATAATTTCACAATATTCTGTAAACGTTCCTGTTTCTATTTATTTTTTTTTTAAATAATATATATTCAATTTTATCAATTCAGTGTATAATTTATAGGTACAATTCAAAGTTACCAAAGACATTGAATAAGTCATTGCCAAGTAGCTAAAATTTTAATCATTTATTTAAAAAAAAAAAAAATCAAGTTGCAATTCTCTGAACTCATTTTGTAAGAAGTGGCTCTCAATGAAGTCTATGTCAACAAAGCCAATGTTTTTATTTTTATTTTTTTTTCCTTTTCTTTTTAAGGAACATTCTCGAGTGCTTGTTTTTTAAGCTCGTTTTAAGGAGTTCTTTATTTGATTTTTTTTTAATTTTGTGAAATGAAAGATACATATTAAACTCTTGATTCAATATTTCGCCAAAATTAACACTCATCAATTTTAGCAAACAAAAAGTCGACAATTTTTTAGCTGGACAAAATAACCCCATTCACAGTATTAGTGTGAAAAATATATTTCTTAACTTCTACAGGAGACACTTTGATAGACACAGGAAATTCTCGCTACAATCTGCCTGGGAGTCTATTCAGTACCCAGGACAGGGATAATGACAGATACAGTGAACTGTGCTGGCTACTGGGGAGGGGGATGGTGGTTAAACGAGTGTTACCGGGCCTTTCTTAACGGTCCCTGGACCCCGGCAGACAGCTTCTTACTTTGGTGGCCTACTGTGTTTAGTGGATCATCTATGAGAGGGACCACAATGATGATCAGGCATCACTTGGTAAACAACAATCTTAATAACAAGTGTAAATTTCTCTTGAACATTTTGAATGCTTAGTAAAATTATTAATATGAGGTTTAAATAACATACCCTTTTACATTTCTGAAACATTATCTAATACTTATAATTTTTTTTTATTATTTTCAACAGATGTATCCAAAATGTAGAGACCTCCAATGGACGATCACCAACTATCAGCATGATTAAACATTTATGATAAAAGAGACAATTTTAACTTTATCAAGGGAATATACTCACTGTGTGTTTGAAATAAAGTTTCATATCAAGTAGGAAAACTTGTAAAGGATTTTATTTTGAGTGTATTTTGTGGTTAAACTCTTTCATGAAGAAGTAAAGTTTTGTCAATTTCCATTTTCAAATGTACTTACAAAAAGCTGTATACAGTGTGTATTATATGTTTTGTAATAAATTGCAAGTTATAATTATTTTGTTCTTATTTACAAACATTGCCATATGAAAGGATAATAAGGATGAAAAATGCTGTATTGTATAAAACGTCTTACAGTGGAACTGTTTATTCCGACACCAGTATAATTTGTGTAATATAGCACTGTCTGTATTCCGGAAAAAAATGTTCTGCCATGTGAAAAGTAGGTCAAACTCCAAGGTCAAAAGTTATAACCAAGGTTGAAGTTTTTTCATAGGTACAGAAATCTCCAAGGTCAAGGTCAAAAGGTTAAAGTTGTTGGTAATCAATGAAATGTCTTTCCACAATCAAAACATGTCTTAAGTATAAATGTCCTGGTATCTATTGTTCAAAAGATATGGCCAAAGTAAAAGTTCAAAATATTTGTGTTCAAATGGGTCAAACTCCAAGGTCAAGGTCAAAAGGTCAAATTTGGTCGTGCCCAAAGAAAGGTCTTGTCACATGTACATGCGAAATATGAATGTCATAGCTCCACTAAATCAAATGTTATTGGCAAGATTAAAGTTTTTGGGGACAAAGAGACAAACAGACAGCTAGACAGAGAGAGAGAGGGGGAGAGAGAGAGAGAGAGACAGACAGACAGACGGACAGACAGACGGACGGACACGACAAAAACTATATATCACCAAAAACTTCGTTTACGGGGGCATAAAAACAACCCTACGAATAGAACATTTTAGTATGCAGTATATAGACCTTCCTTGATCTACCAAACAATATCTGCTTCGGCTGTTGCTCTTGTTCTATTTTAATTTTGATTTGGAAAACAGGGTGCGTTTGTAAGACAAAGATGCCCCTGTATTGCAGCTTATAGAAAGGGTGGAATTCTCTTAGATGCATGTCAACCACCAAAGGTCAAGGTTAAAAATCAAAAGTGTGAGTACCCAAGAGAAGTACTTGTTACAAAGATAACAAAATTATATGAACTATGAAAGCCCCAGTTTTAATTGTTGAAAAGTTATGACCAAAGTTTAAGTTTTTTTTTTTTTTTTAAAGTGAGTCAGACTCTCTAGTCAAGCTAAAAAATATACCTGGTGAAATGGTTGTCAAAAATCCGCATATGAGGTTCACTGTAACTTAGACTTCTTATGCATTTTTCCATCGGTAAAAAAAATACTTTTTTTGATAAAGAGGATAATTGCATATGATGATATAGAGTTTTCAGTAATTCTTTACTTTTGGTTAATATGTTATATCAAGTTAAGAAAAAGGCTTTTAATAGACGCAATCAATAGCTTTCGATAGGCACAACTTTGCCAGAGTTATTTCTCCTTGGTTGCCATATTGGGTCTACAATAGCCTGGATTCCTTCATTCCCCAACCACAAATATAAACTTGTCACATAGAATGATTGGGGAATTCTTATGAATTTATGGTAATACAAGCTTCCTTTGAATTTTAATATTAATATTTTAAAAATTTTTGCCCATATATTTCTGCCATTCAGGTTTAAGTTGCTCAAAGAAAAAAAATGGCTCCTCTGTAGTTGGACCTCCAATATGACAGTCAAGGGGTAATAATTCTTGCTAAATATTTTGTTAAAGAAATGATTAATTCAAGTTAAAGATAGCATTTTGCATTTTACTTATATACGAGGTTTTATAAAAAAAAAAAATCGTGAACTGAAGCTATGAAATTAAAATTATGTAGTCTGTGCTTTCAAAATTTATAAGGGACATAAAACAACAAAAAAATAAAGAAATGTTGAAAATTTTTAGAATAATACGTTCGTTATTTGCTAAATTATTTTAAAAACAAACGGAGGTGGGATCAGGTGTCTTGGAGGAGCAAACATCCTCTGTCGAAAGTTCACCTCTGACATGTGCTCGTTGTCATGATCTTGGCTAAACGGGAAAGAATCCACGCACAATTTAATGTGAAAAGAAATGTTCAAGCAATTTGAAAGAAAAATATATGTGAACATTTTACTTCATAATAAATTGTATTTGAAAACAAGGTCAGTTATCGCCCCTACAACTTGCGAATCTTTGACTTCAAACGAGAGTGTTGATATCCTTGTTTCAACCATTTATTTTATAGCCAACTTCGATTTAGATGATGTTCGTAATAGAACTTGCATTTGCGTTTCAAATCAACTTGGAGACGTCATATACAGATGATAAGGTTATGTTACCACATTGAGTTTAGGGAAGTTAACGTAAGCAAAATTGATAATCATCATATCCTGTTCTTAGGTTACTATTTTGTCTGATAATCTATCCAAATACGAAACAGAATGATATGTCAGACTCAAAGGTATTTTTATATTTTGAAATCACAAGGATATATCGAGTCGAAATGTTATATTAGCAACTCTATTTTTTTATTATCTAATTAAGGATTTGAAGGCCATAGTAAGTTAACAGCAATTACCAAATCAAACCTCAACACCGGCACAAATACTGTTCATGAACTTGAGAAAAATAAGCATATTAAGACAATTCAATTCATTTTCAACATGGACTAACTAACTAAATTCTACATGAAAGAGACAATTGATTATGCCTGAACAGAGACTTTGTTGTCTTTGTACATATGGAAAATTTCAGGAAGCAAGTAATTTAGTAAATCGTTCTAACACTGATCAGATAAACTGTCACTTTTAAGAAAAAAAACATTCTAGAAATATTTTTGAGAAATATTTCGAAAGCAGAAATTTTCAGAATAAGAAGAAATTGAGTTATGGAAAAGCAACATTTTCAATATTGAAATAATGCGTATTGAATTAACGAACAATATTCGGGATCAAAATTCCATAAGTAAAACAGTATTCTTTTAGTCCTGGTATGTAAATTGAAAAACAACTTGTACATGATATTTCAAATGGGAAAAAAGTCATTTATCATTAAATAGCGTTCAACAATAAACCCATTTTATCTGACTTACAAAAGCATACCACAAGCAATACTGAAAAAGACCAGATAGGCTAAGATCCCATGCTGTCCCCTATTTCGAGTTGTCTTTTAGACTAATACAACAATATATAAATAAAAATTTGTTTTCAACCATGACACGAATCATTATTAGTATTTAGTTTTGGGATACAGATGGCACAAAATGTCAAAAAACGTTTAAATTTCCGAATTTTATCATCATTTGCAATTTTAATCGATTTTACATCACATTTTGTTTATGGATTCATAAAACACAAGCTTGCCTATCTGCCAAATTTCGCAATTTTGACTGACTGTGTGTGTTTTTTTTTACATCGTATAAGGAGCCAAATTCAGCCGTTTTCATATCTTGTCCTTTAAAGAGGTAGAACCTTTGTAAAAATAAATTAGTTTTTAACTTAAGAAATTCAATGCAATGTCAAAGTCTTTATGTTGACGAAAACCCTATAAAAGTCTATGTATGGCATGCTTAATACTGTTGATTCCTAAATATACGCAGGGAATTAAGTATCCGTAATTTCGCTAGAAGCACCACACGCGAAATTAAATTACGCGCTTTTATTATTTATGGTGCTGAAATCTATGTAAAATATATTTACCAACCGTCCATTCGCGAATTTTTATTCTCTCAATTTGACGTTGAAGAGCCCATTCGCGATAATAAGTACTCTAGAAAATAAGAAATCTACAGTAAATCAGTAATTTAACTTCTAGGGATAAACAAAATCAATGTAAATAATAAAGTTGTCAATATCATGATTTATCCTGAAAAAAATAGAGGGACATTTTCAAACGTAGTATTACATAAATAAATAATAAGATAATATAGAACAAGATTCCAATTAAGTGAAATTGATAATTAAACTAAATGTTTCAAGAATTGTGACGGAAATATTCCCAACTCTGTTTCCATTTAAATGCAATTCAAATATTCAATAGAAATCCACTAAAAAATTGTAATTAGTAGGGAAAAGATATACAGTCAAACTTGTCTTAGCGGCCACCCGAAATCAACGGCCACTTGCAGTCAGCGGCCACTTTCCGTTCCCCCCGATGATTTTTACTATATATTTTAACTGGAATAAACGGCCACCTGTGTAACGCGGCCAGCGGCCACTCAAATCCTCCCCCAACAGCCTACTTGACACTGTAATAGGCGGCCATTTCGTCACTTGTTGCGATTCTATCATCTTTTTAAACGTGTAGGCTTGGGCAATTATATCCTCGCTAGTCAATTTAACCTATTAATGCAATTAAAGAAATTGCTTTTAGATAATGTATAATATTTAAGTTGCATTTCTTTTGATTTTTAGAAAACTTTACGTTTCTATGAAAGTTTGCTTTCATCAGTAATGGATAAATGCCAAACAAAGTTTTAGTAAATTTGAAAATAAATCCACAATTAATAAAATTCGAGCAATATTTTAGTAACTTAAAAAAAAGAGATATGGAGGCTATTTCAGGATTTTTTTATTGGTGGTGGTGGTGGTGGAGGAGGTGGGGGTGCTTAATTGGCCAATCGTTTGTCTGCCATAGGCCAGGTAAGTGTAAGAACAGG